CGTTTAGTAATAAATAATTTTAAACGTATCGCCGTACCGTATATTATTAAAACGCAGAGCGTGAAATAAAAAAAAATCTATCATTTTATGTTACATAATTCCAGCTGTTTATCACTTTGTGGAGGTCGCCGAAAGATGCGTTTGATCTATATTGACGTTTAGTTGAAGAAGAGCATTCTCGAAAATATTATGATCGCTCGACCTTGGGGCAGAAGAGCTCCGTTCGCCGGGCCCGCCGACTGGCTTCGGACAAATCAAACGCGAGTGGAAAAAGGAAGAAGACGTTATCTCGCCGCTAAGGCAAACACAAACTATCGCTTCGTCGACAGAGCGGGAAACCGGGCCCGACACCACACAAAGCTCATCCGGCGTCTCGTGTGTAATGTAATCGTACGGACTACTCCACTCATAACAGACCAGTTCTCGTATACGTGTATTAGAAAGGTGTCAAAATTACTGTTTGGGTTTTCTCTTCGCCTGTACACGACAATGGGTCACCGCCAACGCTATGGACCGTCTATAAATGACGGGAACTCAATTATGTAAGCATCGCAGAAGTCACGTGTCGGTTAAAAGTAAAAATTACGTGATAATTACAGGTCGACATCAACGCCACCAACCCATAGTACGAAAATGTGAATGTAAATTTAGGCACCTCCATAAATTACTACTCATTGTAATGCGCTAGGAATATAATGAAAGAGTGAGTCAATTATTAATTCAATTCTTTACCTACCGTGACAATTTAACCGTTGGTGTAATCCGAATACTTTTTGCGGCCATCCTACATCCTTACATCCATGCAACTGCCGGCTCACTAGATACTAGCCCATTGGACTCTTCGTCCTTGACCAAGTCGTGGAGAGGATCAACAAACGGAGAGGTATTTCAGACTTTGACCATCCAATGCTGTTCAATAGAACGTTTGACGTTTCAACCGCATAGGACGGAAACTATACGGATGGACACAGTCTGCCAAGTCTTAAGACTAATAAATGTAGACTGGGGTAAGGGGTATAGGTTTTTAAATGCGCGGTGGTCGCAAGTGTCGGCAGACCGGCGGGCGCATGTGTAATCGCCACGGCTAACGCTCACCTTGGCCGCTCGCAAGGCCAAGGTCGCCCCTCCCCCCGCCGCCGCCGCCCGCGCCCCCGCCCGCCTGTTACAATGCACGCGCACGCGCCTTTTTGCGCCGTGATGTAATCCGAAATTCGGCGCGCGCGCACCGCCAACATAACATGGCCGCCGGTCGAAACGCTTATTAATGTTATTTCTTTTTTACTCTGGCGTTGTTTGTCAACACTTCGCGTTGACAATAGCCTTATGGTTTGTTTTAAAAAACTTTTAAGCGTCCCCTACTACCTAACGTCCATATATGTGAGTTTTTCAACAATGATATGTTGTATGTGTTGAGCGCAATGTTCATGAAATTCATTACAAATAGGTACTTGTGGCGTTAGCGGACAGTTTTCATATCTTAAATTATTATTCTATGTGGTTAGAGAAACAATCGATCTTTCTGCTGGGAGGAAGGTACCTTACAGATATAACAGTGAAGAATAATGTATATTATCCGAAAGGAGCTCATGATTCATGAACGTGTACTAATTTTGGGTTAAATAAAATGGCACAGTCAATACACGCATAACCACTCAAAGTGGATATTAAGAATTTTAATCTTGCACAATCATACATTTATCTAGGGTTGCGAATATTAATTCTTCGGCCGATTATTGTATTCTTCAAAAATAAAAATTGTTACTTAATGATCTTTGTGAAAAGTACGTTTTTGCAAAACTACTTTTAAAAGTTCAGGGTTTCGGTGTTGCAAAATATAGATTAATTGATTGATCCTACTGAAAATTAATATTGTTTTCATACTATGTATATTATTTTGATACAACCATACAAAGTTATATTACATGTACGCTTGGCAACCCTGTATCTCATCTCTTTACGAATTCATTCGTTTTTTGTCGCAACAATTTTATGATTTTAACGTTACACATTTAACGTACAATTTAACGTTCTAACTTCCGCACAAGATTTCAATGAACAAAAATTTCAAATCCAAAGTAAAAAAAAAACAGTTATTCTAATTTTGACAAGTTGATTCACATTCATAGACAAGTTAATCTGAGAGCTGTCAAAATGTATATCTTATATTATTCGATGGATATCCCTGTATTGGTCGAAAACAATAAAGCAATAAAAGGTCCTGTCTAAAAAATTTATGGGTAACAGCACCAAACGCCAGTAATGGCGGAATCTGCCGAGCGACATTAAAATTCCGTACGAACATGTTATGGGTTCGACGTGGAGCTCTGTGTCTTTGTGTCTGCTTGTGACCGAGCCACTCACAACCACGCGATACAGAATAATTATAATATCATGCACGTAATACTTCGTATTTTAAAATATTGCTGGGAAAAATGACAGAATTATATCGAAAATCTCATTTATGCTTACTTTGGTTTGATTGTAATCGCACGTCGACCCAGCCCAAACCTGCATCTCGTAACGAATACTTTTCATACCGAAGTCAATAAAACTGACGAAATTTCGAACCTAATTCAAATTGTTAATAAATTACTTTTTTTTTCATCAATCGAAAATAATTATTTGTGATCTATGAATGCAAACTAAATTTGTAATGTAATAAGTAATTTTGAGCATTTGCAGAGAATGTATTATTTAGAATTAATAAATTGAATTATTATATTATTTAGAATTAATAAATTGAATTATTATGTAGGTAATTAAAAATTAATCCGACGAAAACAACTTACCCGATATTGTAAGCAAACAACTTTTTTTTTCAATAACTAACTTTATTACGCCCTGTTTTTGAAACACTGATCATCGTAGATGTCAAGTAATCAGCTGCGAAATGGCTTTTCAAATTTCATTTTAGTTGCCAAAACGATGGTTAAACTCTCTGAATTGAGCAGAGTGATCTTCTTAATGATCAAATTGATCAATTCATTGGTTTGAGAGAAATTGATCAATTGATTTTTTGTAATTTATAGAATACTAAAATTGTTAAATGCAACAAACATTACGGATTTTAAAGTGCTTAATGTAAATTTAATGATAAGGAACTGACTTTCCAATAGCCGTACATTAGCAAGAAATCATGTCAAAGCATTCCGTGGTCAAAACAACCCACCCCGCAACAAGGATTGCTAAGTTAGGATCGAGATACAATAGTTACCTTTGTTCATTTTACCATTAAGGCCCATTTACACGATGCCATTTTTTTGTATATACAAGAGCAATAATTGAATGCAATAAGTTGCACGCAATAATTGACCATCAAGAATTGTAAGCAACAGTTTACACGCAGATATAGTAAAAAAAATTGAATGCGATTATTGAATGCAAGTCTTGACAAGAAATAATTGCAAATGTCTTTTGTTTACACCAATGCAATTATGTTTAGGCGATTATTGCTTTCAAGTTTTGACTTGTCTAAACACATGCTTGTATGTGCGTGTACAATTTATTGGTGTGTTGCTTCAAGTATTGCACGTATTTGCGTTGACAAATTTTTCATGCAAGTGTTGAACGTTTTACAAAGGGCTGTTTTTTTTAAAAAATGGCTCAATAATAAGTGTTCAAGTTAAGGCCCATTTACACGATGCCATTTTCTTGTACATACAAGAGCAATAATTGAATGCAATAAATTGCGCGCAATAATTTGTTAGACCATTTGTTGTTTAGACCATGCAACTCATTTATTGCTTCAATTTAATTGTATACAACAGGCAAGAAACTTGCACCGTGTAAATGGGTCTTTAGATTATGCCGATTCAATATATTTCATTGAGATTTATTTATTATGATCCATATATTATTATTCATATTTTTATCCAACTTTTTTTACGACCTTTTCTCAATATTTCTTGCCTCAAAAGAACAGCAATGATTAAATACCGTCACTCATTGCACTCATTTTTGCGAAGGAAGAGAGAATGCAATTGAATACAAGAATTGCTTAAGAAATTATTGTGTGTGTTGTTTACACCAAGGAAAGTTTTGAAACAAAACTTGAAGCAAGTCTTGTTCAACAGTCAAGAATGTTATGTGCTGTTTAGACAATGCAACTCATTTATTGCTTCAATTTAATTGTATATAACAGGCAAGAAACTTGCACCGTGTAAATGGGCCTTTAAACTATACAACCAGCACAAAACAGGAAGTTCCGAATCCATTATTCGGGTCGAGATGAAAATAGCGTCTCATGTAAAAGTTGTTCGAAAGATTGTGTGAAATGGAATTATATCGCAGCCCTCTCAGGCGGGAGGCGTCAGTCCTTATGTACATATATACGTGTGACGTTAAAGGCGATATCGGATAATGTCCACTATAAATTCAGATGTTCCCTATACGTACATCGTACGTACGTATCGACGGCGTCGCGTCGCGTTTGTACGCAATCTATCAGCGGGCGGGGACTTCGCCCCCCGGCGTTACTTCCGTGTGAATGGCGTCGCGTAAAAATACACGGGCTTTTCTTGAGACCGAAGCCAAACTATGCGAGACCGGTGGCCGGTGGCCAACGTTCAAAAACGCGCCGACATCGCTAGACAAGTGTATCAAATCAGCTTCTCCGCCCTCTGCGCACGTTCGGAACGGACAATGTGTAATTGAACATCCCTTGTAGTCACACTCAATGGACGCCGCGTACCCAGACCCCCGCCCCTCTGCACCACCCCGCTCGTATGGAGTACTATGGAGTATGGATTATACGCTACGGGCACGTAATAGTTGGGACGTGTACTCGCTTTGTAGTAACGTCACGGCCGCCTGCCAAATCTCTTCCCGATTCTCAAATCTCGCTCAAACAAATTCATCGATAAACACTCTGCTAAAAAAAACTGAATGAAATCTAGCGCTTTTAGAACATAACTCTGAATTCCTCCGCTAGTTTCTGGAAGTTGCAGTATAACATTTACATACGAATAGCGTTACATAGAATGGTTAAATGCGACACTCACTGATATCGGTGACATCGTTCCATTTCATGATAACGTCAGCACAGAAGTCACCTGGAAAGAACAGATAAAGACATCAATATGTAATAATACACATTTATAACACACATGCAATAAAGATAAGACGGAAATAAAATCCCAGTAAGCTTTATTTGCAGGCCACTTCATTATTTTAAGTTCGTTTTAGAGATGTTCTGCTATTTTATCTGAAAAGCAATCAAGATATAAACACTTTTAATCATTATTATTACCAGGTTAGCTGGCAGAAAACTCATGCATTGAGTTAAGCTTTCCTTTTGTACATTATTTACATTTTCATTATTTTTTTGTATCTTGTGTTTTGTGTACAATAAATATATACATAAATACCTTTATAATTAACAATACAATCAGGTAATTTGCTAATGCTGCTAATCCCATACACTTTTACTCAGTAAAATGTCTTGAATTTATCTCCTTTTTTAGGGCTCCGTACCCAAAGGGTAAAACTGTCACCAGGCTGTATCTCATTAACCGTGATAGTTGGACAGTTCTAACTCGCACTTGGCCGGTTTATTCTTATTCGACAATTACAAAGAGAAGTCGTTATTGAGATATGTTACTTGAAGATTTAATATAAATATGTATGTACATTTGACACGTAATTTGTCAGGTTGTACAAATAATTTAGCGTGCATTATATTGTCAAGATGTCATGTCGTTGTAATTGATAGCAAACAAAACTCCTCAAACTGAGATAGGTTATCCATCATTTCAAGGCATGGATATTTCAGCATTTGATTCTCCGTTGAGACGAATACTAATTGTCAAACGGCTCCAAATCTTTCCCGTTAATCCCAGAAGACTAATTTCTTTTCCGCGTTTGCAGAAATTAGCACATAATGTGTTTGACGCATCGGCACCGGTGAGAGTGGGAATATTCGCAATGGCGGTCTTTTTGATCGAAATCAAAGGTCTTGAACAATCGCGACTAAAAAATTGCAGTGTCGTGCTCACCGCTTGTAACATTGCTTTTAGTGCCGACGTATTGTTTTTTGGGCCGGTGAATAAACGTATCGGTATCTTATTTAACACATTAAACTGGTTCTAAAATTATGAAATGGCTAACAGGGGTCGACTATTTATATAGATTCACGTACCGAGTAAAAGAAAGGGACTTGTTTATTATGATTTATGACTATAAATATAAGGATCAATCAAATCAAATCATCTTTATTTGTAGAAATTTGGTAATTATAATGTTATAATAACATACCTCATACAAGATTCTCATCGATCATGTGTTGTCAATAATAAAAGGAAAATTACTGTAACTGTGACTCATGCTGAGAAAATTTGCTTTCATATCATACATCCTATATATGTATTCTGTGTGTTATCGATTTCATCTGTTTATTCTAAAAATATGTCACAAGATTTTTTTTAATGTTATACTGACGAAATTATGTGTATTCGGTCTTTCTCAACTTGAGAACCATAAAAGATAAAAAACAAATATAAAATTATTATTTACAACCATGTCCTAATAAAGAATAAATTCATTGTTAATTATAACGGCTACCATAGAGAATATCCAAAAAATCCAAAATAGACCAAACGTATTACTTCCAACAATGATGTGTAGTAATTTTTGTAGAAACAAAACAACCCATAATTGTAAAATTTAATTTAGCAGCGATGCTTAGGGAGAGACTTTTATTACCGATTAATTGTTTCGTAATTAAGTCTTGAATTTCGAACGAAACGAATTGGAGACTATTTAAATGAGAATAAGAGTCTCAAAGAATTGTATACATAATCGTATCAAACTAAGCGTCAAAGTTTACATCCGTTACTCCAAATGATTGAGACGCGAACTGAGTCCTCTCATTTCGTGATTAATACTGCGCAGTGGCTTCACTGCGGAGCAAGATTAATTCAAATGAAGCAATCACGCCGAGTATTGTATGCGATGTCTGCAGTAAGCCAACTAGGTGCGCAGAGAAAGCAGTAATCTGCAGACGGCTGGCTTTACGGCCCCCTTGGGGAGTAGACATGGCGATAAGGTATCGATGCGGAGAGGAAGACTCGTTCATCGCACTTAAATCTGTTGAACTTAATTCTGATCAATGCACCTTCGAGAACGTATTATTATACGCTTTACCGATGTTCTTTTAGTGTAATATTTGTGATATTGCAAAGGGTTAGCTAAAAAACATTTAGCGCGAAATATCAGTTATGCGATTGCGAGTTTGCAGTGATTCAGTAAGCAACATGTAAAAGTGCAAGTTGGCGGAATCGAGCGAGGCCATGACCGGGCCGGGTTCGACCTGCTCCTCCCCCCTTCCCCCCCACACTCGGGTCAACGACCCGAACGTACGCGCTTTTGCACTGCCTTCCCGTCGCCCAGCCTCTGCTGCACCCACTTTTATTCAATGATCTTTGACACTACTCTTAATTAATAAATACCAAGGCCTAACTAAGCCGACTAACTAACTACCTGTGTACGCAGCGATTCTCCGGGATCATGTAACCGAAGGTATAGCAGGAGAGAAAGACGAGGTCCGCCACGATAAATCCTCAAAAGTATGTTCATTGCTTTGAGACCCGGGCATATGGCTCACTCAGCCAAGAATGAACATAGGATTCCGCGGTGTTTCCTTACTGCGATACTATAAGTTCATATGTTTAAGTACCGTGCAAGCTTGTATTTGAGATTCCTTTAAACAGGAGAAATCATTATTGGGTCTGATGCGCATACAAGAACAGATTTAATTAATGTCAACAAAGTTAGTGCTCTACGACTGTCAATATTTACTTTACTAACAAAATAAGAGAGTAAGCATATCATATATGTCACATGGGCATGGAGTGTTCGCGACGTGTCGCATGACAACAGAGAGAATCACACGCTGCCGTCGCTCCGGATTGCTCATTACCATCTGTGCTCAGCTATTATGAGGTTGTTACCGTCGTATTTTTATTGCTCTGCAACTATCTTGGAAAGTTATCTAAATAATATCCATAGCTCACATATTTATGTTTTTTTTAAAATAACATATTAGAAGTGTGACCTTCTGACTGAAAATCTAACCTACGCCCGGTTTTTGAAACACTGATCATCTTAGAAGTAATCAGTTGTCAAATGTCATTTGAGATGCCAAAAGAATGATTAAACTCTTTGAATTGATCATTCTGATCATTAAGAAGATCATTCTGGTCAATTCAGAGAGTTTAACCATCCTTTTGGCAACTTAAATAACATTTGAAAAGCCATTTGACAGCTGATTAGTTAACTTCTACGATGATCATTGTTTTAGAAACCGGGCGCTAGCCTTCCACGCGTTCTGCGCGCCACAGAGCTATGACTTCAAGCTGAAAGAGCAGCCATACCTATCCTAATTACTTGGATAAAAATTACCAACATTGAGCAATGTTGAAGACATTTAATAACGATTAACTCTAGCCGCTTCGATTTGAGATCGTTATTAATTTGTGTATCATTTACTCTTGTAACCTCAATGCAACCGCCGTCAAATGTGTAACACATAGCTCATTACCTATTTGACTAGTTCAATGTCTGGATTGGTTGAAACGTAATTAAAATAGTCATTTGGTTGATATAAAGTTGAAATCAAACTTTTTTGTATTAATTCAACTTGTTTGAGTGAATATAAAAGGCGTTGTTAACATTTATTATGTGAAATTGCAATAGTTACTTTTTTATTTTAATATGTTTTATCCTCCTTTTTCAATACCACGTACCGTTTTTACAAATTTTAAACAAAGCTATACTTACAAAGTGAACACATGAATCAATTAAAAGAAAACGAACAAAAATTCTTATCGGCGCTGTTTTAATAATAATTAAGGGAAACATCGACCACATGTTATCCAGTAACGACTTTTATATAGGTCACATTATGAAAATAATAAAAACATTAACATTAATCGTGAACGAGTAATAAAAATTATGGGTTCCGTACCATTGATATAATATCAAGTTTACATTTGCGCAGCAGTTTCGGAGATGGAGCTTAATAACTCCGAGTCCGCTTTTGTTACAAACTAGCAACTAGCCCCGGCTTTGCACGGGTGCATACAAACACTCCTTTCGAGTCACTCTATCTGTTGCTGAAAACTGCATTAAAATCCGTTATGTGCTTTAAAAGATTTAAGCGTACAAACATTGGAAGCAACTTCGTTTTATACTAAAGACTAAGAACCATGTAACGTAATACTGTTGTAGGGTTTCACGACAACATCCAGGGGACCCCAATAACTATATAACGAGGATACTTAACCTGAGCACGTCGGTTATCACGACGCTGTTATTGAATCGGGTAATCGGACGTCGATAGCGCCCACATCTGGCCTCGGCACAGAGCAAATCTACATAATTATGTGCATCCATCGTCCATGTCTCCTATTGAAAAATAAATATTCGCCAACTGCGAGTCGTACTCTCGCACAAAGAGTTCCGTACCATTATCTATAAAAACGTCAAAAGTTATGTCTGTTGTATGGGAGCCTCACCTACAAATTTTTTTATTCGATTTTTTAGTTTATACCGAATAAAATAAAACAAAATTTGTTGTTGTTGCAGCAACAGAAATTCATCATCTGTGAAAGTTTCAACTGTCATCACGATTCATGAGATACAGCCCGGTGACAGACGGACCGATAAACAGACAGAAAGACAGCGAAGTCTTAGGAATAAGGTCCCGTTTTACCCTTTGGTTACGGAACCCTAAAAAGGCCTATACCTACGCCTAAAGGTCCTGTTTTATCCTTTGGGTACGGAACCCTAAAAAGGCCTTCGGGTTACGTTATGGAGGCTGACGGCTCTTGCCAAAAACTTGTCAAAAACGTGAATAACGCTTCGCATCATAAACCTTTATTGATCCACCGAAGTATTCTTATCTAGGATGAAATATTCACTTTGTAAACATCCACCGTAACTGTGGAAGCTCTTGGTTTCTGGTACTGTGGAAACTCTCTCAAAACATTGTTCCTATGGAGGTTTTCCGGTGGCAGGGCCACGTAGCAGCCTCAGCTGTTGCACGAATGGGCAGGCTCGTCCGGGTAAGTACAACGACCTCACAGAAGACCGGCGTAAAGTGGAAGTATAATGCTTTCGCGTTTCGTCTGGTGAGTGAGGTGGCCGGAGCCCAATTTTCAAAAGGTTGTCAAAGCATCTGCAACCCTCGGGTGTAGCAGATGTCCATTGGCGGCGGTATTCACTTAACATCAGGTGAACCGTCTGCTCGCTTGGCAACTTTTCACATAAAAAAAGGTACTAAGAAAATAATTATTGAAGGATCAAGGGGTATGCCATTTCGTATTAGATGTTATTTTGTGTTCAAAGTTATCAGAAGCGCTAGTTCATGCTTATCCCATAGCAAAAGGTTAAACATTTACACTTTTTGGAAAAGGCCGAGATAAGGCGCTGTGACGTATCCAACAATTGGTCTATCTTTTTAGAATTTGATAATTTTTTGTAGTGCACCTAGTAGTGTATTGTGTGTAATGCCTAAGGGAGACTTGAGTCCACACACAAGCCATCGTCATTACAAACGGCATATTACGTATAAGCGAGCTAAATCGATTAATCATTTGATGATACGATTGGCTAACTTTATAGTTGCAAACTTAATGGCTTTATCGTCGCGAGTTGTTGGTTCGATCTCGCCAAAGACATTAGAAGCGATCTTTTAACGTCCTTGGATTTTGCTAGTTTTCGATAGTTGTTTCGAATCCCAGGGTGTCTGAATGAAACTTTATGTATGTAACAGTTTTAAGTGGTATGAGGTTTTGTTAAAAAATAATATAACAAAACAAAACAGTATAACATATATTGGGAACATTATAAAATAGGGACTTGTAAAAACCCGTCGAGGCATCATCAGCCCATCGCGGTAAGAGTAATTATTTCATTGAGAGTCGACTCCCCGTTACAAGACGCCGGAGTACGAAGGGCGGAGGGGAATTGTGAGGGGAGGGGGGAGCTATCTCGCCGGAAGTCGCAGTCGTGACTGTCGGCGGCTCCAGGGCTCCAGGGCTCCAGGGCTCCAGAGCTCCACGCAAAAACGCTCCAACGAGCCGAGCTGTGGGAAGCTTCACGAGCTACCGGCAATAAAATTATTCTCAATACACTTCGAACGTAGCTACTTCAATGTAATGTAGGTATAGGTTTCCGCTACTCCGACTGGTTAATACAGGTAATTTGTCTGAAACACGGACCGCCGTTCTTTATTACAATTCAACGTTTTAATGTCGGACTGCAATATGCAGTCCGTCAACATAGCAGTAGCTTAGTGATGTTTACGTAAAAATACGTCATAGGACATTAAATTGGCGCAGCGTAAGCAATGTTAAAGCATTGAACAATTTTAAAATGTTAAAAAGTTAGGATGAAGGATCTTCATATGATATAGGTACACACATTTGTGTCTTGTCCTTTCCGGGTGCTTAAAGCTGTCCAAATTTTTATTTACAACTTTTATTTTTTACATTTAGTTTCTCGATCAAGATTTTCGGACTAGCTAAGTATTCCCTGAAAGAAAAGTTGTGGAAATTGCACGACCGTAATCATGGACCCCGTACTAATTGGACAACTTTTATGACAAATTGGGTAATTAGAAAAATTTAACGACAAGAATATGAAAAGTAGTAAAGACAGATTATAACTAGAAAGTTTAGTTGCGGACGCCATCCATCATGTTCGGTTCGTTAAATAATCTCGATGACATTAATATTATTACAGTCTCGGCCATCACTGATTATCTCGGGGATTATGGATGGCACAGTTTGTGTAATTTAAATGGTTAATTTAGTAATGATAATAGAACGTTTCCTTTAGTAAACTGGTTGTTATTATTTAGTGAACAAGTCAATAAACGAGGAACGTACCGTTACGATTGCTTGTAACATAAATGCTGGAAATAAACCCTGCTTCAGCGCAGCTCCTACAATGTATGTCCGAGTGCATTAGCCTAAGGTTTTTGCAACTAGTCTAATACATCAATTTGTGCGTGCGATTCAATAAATCGGACGGTTTAGATGCATCGGGTCTCGAATGCTAACATTACTTTGTAATCAAACAAACAAGCGGTCGACGGTTGCAAACGTATTGCGTGTCGGCCGCTTGCAAATTCAGTCGGCATCAACAGCGAGTCACCATGTTGCTCCCAGTACTGCTTAGGCTTTAGGGTTCAATAGGTCTTGAAGCAAACTAACAGCATATTTGATTGAGCACTTACTAATTATTGCTTCAAAAGTACCAGTTCTCTTTTGGAGCAGCAATGACGTTTCCGCTTTTACTTTGAAAATAATGGCGTAAAGTTGTTTTACCCGACTCCGCAACGCAAAGGAGGGTAGTATGTTTGTTCTTTTGTAGCACTGCAGAGGATAAACGCATGGGTCGATTTTATTTTAAATTATCTTAATCTTGCGAGCGTCACTAAAGATATGACAGGTATAAAAATTCGATATGACGATTACAATACGCTATGCTGTGAAATAAGTAATTATAGGGTGTGGAAAAATGTTCCATTCACAAAGCATGTCGGCCTTTTTATCTATTACACAGTCGGGTTTTTTGAATTTCGAGCAATAATAGCTTGTTATAACTTTTTATTCACAATATATTTATCAGTTTAGCGTGTATACTAGAAAGTGTATCCGGTCAATGTTGATTGCCCAAATACAACACCATAGATAACGAATGTAGACCTTTTCAAAACGCGAAATGTTAATTACCGTATATCAGTGGTTTATCTATAAATAATAGACATGAGCAGGCGTTCAACTATGAGCTAGTGACGTGCAAATATTAGACCAGGAGGTGGCTGGTGGGACTCGCGTGAGCTGAGCGTGATCACAACGCTCTTGGCGTTCCGGGCTCGAGAGATCGTGATCCTCCCGTCGGCCACGTGACGCGGTGATCGATATGCCGGCGGGCTGCACAGCATTGCGAGCGCCCGGCCCGAGTTAAACTACAAAGTTGCAAGTCAACGACCCGCCGGGGCCGGCGGCGCGCGTGTCCACGCACGCATTACGGCAGATTATTTCGTCAGCGGCCGCGATGAGACGCTGTTATGTAAACAGGGACGTTCCGCACCGATCCTGACAATGCACCGCGTCACCGACCCGTGTCTATTCTCATCGCTCTTCCGCTCGACTGAGGAGTTGCACGAGAGTAGACAAGTCGCCTTCGTATCAACACGAAGCCTACGTGTTCTCATTGCAAAGATTAAAAGCCAACCTTGCGACACCGATACCGGCTCGCGCCGCTCGTGAAACTGGTAATGTGGCGGAATGCGTGGCCAATTCCTAACCAAACACCGCGCGCAGCCGCTTTGATGCGGTCGCGGCTCACCTCACCAACTGCACCTGACACCGACACGCGTGCTGTTCCAACATTGCACGTGACACCGCGCTCAATTTGTACGCATCTTTGCATCAGATTTTTAAATGCAAGGTTTCACGAGAGCGGTGGTACACAATTATCCGATATCAGCGGAGAATCGGCAAGCGGCAGAAGAAATTAGAATGGACGGAGGTAATTTTACGACGGGAACGAAAGGGGTCGCGACAAAAAACGGGAGAATCTACACAATTAAGCTTTTAAAACGGCGAGCGAACGAGCGGGGGAGAGCCGCCGAGTCGAATTACGTCGCAATGTCACGTCGCCCGCCCAAAGTAAAAACCAGTTCCCGGAATCCTCCGGGTTCACATAATCGCAGTTACTACAGAATGGTACGGACGTGTGCTTTTTGCGCGACGAGAGGGACGCGGCTACTCTGCAGTAGCGGCGTCCCGCTCCGGCATCACTGCGAGCGCCAGGGAGTGCTTTTTGCGAGCGCCGGCGTCGCACCATTTAAGGGGGCGAGAGTGGGCAGGGCTTCATTCACAGAGTGCCCGTCGCTAGCAAAAAATCCGATTCACAAACCATAGGCCGACGGTATGCGTCGCGCGGCATTCGGATGCCCCGGCGATAATCTTACGTGACGACTTTTTCGCGCACCGCAGCCAGAAACCCGAAGAGGCCTGAGATAAATCAAGGGACACATGACAGCCCTGAGGAATGCGCATCCGCTGGCGGATCTGGAGGGGCAGCGGTTCGCAGAAGCCGCCACCAATTAATTTGTCCAGTTTTGGTGAGATGTTTAATTCATGCGCTCGCCTCTATGGGACGTGGTAGCGGCTCTTTCCAACTGTTGCAATCCGCTTCCCTCCTCATACGCGAACCTATGTCGCGGATCGGCAATGAATCTGCCTGTCCGGAGGTAATGAATGGCGCAAACAATACTACGGAGACCTAGTGTATCTCCAGCCAGAGATCAGAGATCTCTTGCTACATTTATATGATGTGGTTTTAAAAGAAATTTTATGGACATGTCATGGACACGTATTTTGAAATTTGTATTTGGTGCAAAAATGTATCATCAACTCATTGCTTTCTGTATGATTCAAAGCATCGACAATAGACAAGTAATAATATATAAAAAACAAATAAAATCTAAAAATAAATGAACGGTAAAGGTTACATAATCAAAACACGATAAATGAACAGCTCACGTTAGCAGCAACAGCCCGTTATTATTGAAATATCAACTCTAAAATAGCATAACCAGTTATAAACGTTGATAAAATCAACCTTTCGAAGCAAACGTCTTTCACAACGTTAGAGGACATTCAAAAAATACATCTTGTTGTTAAAGTCCACTCAAAAATATGCATCCAATATATTCCAACGTTGAAGAGTCATTAAAATTTGCCGAAAAAGGGCGAAAATCTTTTCGCCGCTACGGTAATCGAACCGAGGACTTCCGGATTCGCGCCAAGAAATTTATTTTTCATATTGTTTTCCAACTAATAGATTAAATTCGAAAAACGAAAATCTTCGCAAAAGAGCACCACCGAATCGTCCCAAGGATGATCCACGAGGCTATTGAAATAAAGAAAAATCCCGATTTTGATAGAGAAGATGGTTGAGGTTTATCATCAGCTTGGGATCCTTTAATTTATTAAGTAAAATCCAAGCATACCAACACTGCTAGACTTCAAGATACCATGAGCTACTTTTGCGTAGACTGGACTTAAACATTAAATAAGCAATATGACAGTCAACTCGAAGTCTATCCAGTGATTGTGAACCCTGGAAAGGGTTCGAATTGACGGGAACTTAAAAATTCGGCCAAGTCGGATTCACGCACGATGGGCTCCGTACAATTATCTGTAAAAGAGGGAAAAAATCATGTATGTTGTATGGGAGCCAGATGAAAGGATTTTTTATTGCTTTTAGTTGTTGTTATAGCGTCAACAGAAATACAAACTGAAATGTCAAAAAATTTCCAATGTCGAACTATAACGGTTCAAGAGATACAGCACGGTGACAGACGGACGGACGGACGGACGGGCAGACAGACAAAACGAACAGGCAGACAGACAAAACGAACAGGCAGACAGCGCAGTCTTAGTAATAGGGTCTCGTTTTAGCCTTTGGGTACGGAAACCTTTGGGTACCCTAAAAACGGTAATATGCGTGAAATAGTTTCATTTAACAATGTCTTTCATCTACATTGTTTTTTCGGATTTTAAGCAATGCTTGGTGCATCTATTTTTATATCCTTACAGCATGCTATATCTCGTTCAAACTGTCGTTTAACAACGATAGTTCGGATGAGATATGTAGCCACTATGTTTAAACAATAATAATATTCATCAAGCGATGATCATGTCCCCCTTTATTGTAATTTCTTTAATTTACGTGAATGTTACATATAGGTAGTGTATAAGAAAATATTTCCACAAATTTTACCGCGTTGAGTTCAAATTCCGGACGTGTTACCTGCGGCCATCATGGGATATATACCTCCAGATGTTACAATTATAATCGCCACGATATCATTATCATGTGATGTACGGACGTTTTACAAACATAAACTTCACGCGGACAAACACCCAGATGCGAAACAATTATTTGTGGGTCACACAAATAGTTACCCCGTGTGGGAATCGAACCCACGACCGCCAAAGGCGAAGCCAATACTTTTTAATTTTTAAAACTTGGAATAGCTATGGAACATGGTATTCATGAATTAAATGTATTGCGTGATTATAACCGGTTTATATGAAGATTAACCGTAAAATACGAGCGGCCGTTTCACTATCAACAGGCCGGGTTGTTATCATGACTGTCACCTGGGCAAACAGGCAGAATGTGCACAGCTGAGCCGCCCCCCCCCCCCCCCCCTTCCCCATCCACCACAACTCGCAACCCGATAAGCGTTACAAACGCTGAAACCTCTCTTCATTTGAAAATGTAGAGAACGCGTAATTGACGAACGCCCCGATTATAGATATACGAGGGGTGGAAGAAGCGAGCAGGGAACGGGGAAATAGTTGCGGCCTGTTTTTTTATGTAAAAAGTTGCCAAGCGATCAGACGGTTCACCTGATGTTAAGTGAATACCGCCGCCCGAGAGCACTAGCACCTGATGTTAAGTGAATGGACACCTGCTACACCCGAGAGTTCCAGATGCGTTGACAACCTTTTGAAAATTGGGCTCCGGCCACCTCACTCACCAGACGAAACGCGAAAGTATTATACTTCCACTTTACGCCGGTCTTCTGTGAGGTCGTGGTACCCGAACGAGCCTGCCCATTCGTGCAACAGCCGAGGCTGCTGTGTGGCCCTACCGCCGGATGTCGAAGATTTCGTTGAAGTAGACCTGATGTAGTTTCTAGAAGCCTACGCGTATTCTTCCTAAACATGTTTTACACCATCCTTTAAACGGGATTTTACACATGCATTATAAAAAATAAACTCAACATTAATTAAGATATTTGAATTTGACGATATTGAAGTCTTATTCACTTTGCTATGAATTATCTAAAACGATGAAAAAATAAGTTTACATTTACGGTTACTCAATTAAATGCTTTCTTGAATTATTAATTTCTCGTTAAATTAAAAAAACTGATATAATCATCTTAGAATTTAAAAAGATTGTAAAATTTAATTTCAGCTAAACTAGATCGTCGAATAATGGTAATTGAAACTTATCTAAAAATTTCAACAGAACTGTTGAAGTGTTTTCTAAGAAACCAATTACACTACACTAAACCAATTACTAGCATTGCTTAATTAAGAACATTACAATTTTCTCATGATTTCAATTCTTCGACAACTGCGGAGAGGCTTTCAAATGCCACCGGTTTGAACTTTATCTAGCAACGTCGAGCGCCAACAGACAGGATCTGCAGGGTAAGTAACTGAACCCACAGTTCTTGAGGAGCAAGCGGTTGGTGCGTTAATTAGAAGGTTAATATTACTTATCGTAGCATAATTAACGTTGCGACCCAGCTTAAGTTATGCCAATTTGTTAACGAAACGTATATTGGTTTATGAATTAATTCTAGTACGTTATTGGGTTGTTATTTTTTTATTTTAAGAGCTTCTGACTTATTTGACGTTAGCAAGATAGATGTGTTCAATCAATAATTACACTTTTGTATGAGGACATTGAAATTCTGTGATCAAAAGCGACGTCTCCGTCGCTTAACATAAACAGAGAATGCAGGCGAGTAGAAAACTGAGCGGAGTGAAATCGGAATGTGATTACGATTCAGCGGACGGAGCCGGGTGAAACACCTAGTCTCGGTGTCAGGGCCCAATCGGACCGTTACTAAAGTAGTGTAGTCTATATTTGTCGCATCGCTTTGCAAAGCCCCCCTTTGTAAAGAGGCTATTCGGAAATGGTCCACCACTGCGGATTGGCGTACTTCACATATCTTCTAAGTATTTCTTCAAATTCTTCTTTAAACTCTTCTGTTGTTTTCATCACCGTTGATCATGTTAAGTCAGCACTTACATTAACAATTTCATTATTGCCGGCAACGTGATTTCAACTCGGGATGCTCGAGTGTATTGAATCGAAAGCAAACGCACGGACTGAGGTATCACGGTTCCATGGATCCATTATCGAATCATTTTTTTTAAAATGTGAAAAGTTGCGAAGCGAGCAGGCAGTTCACCTTATGAAAATTCGGGCTCCGGCTACCTCACTCACCAGACGAAACGGGAAAGTACTATACTTCACGCCAGTCTTCTGTGAGGTCGTGGTACTTAACCTGAAGAGCCTGACCATACGAAACAGCCGAGGCTACTGCGTGGCCCTACCGCCTACAATTTACGCCCGGCCAAACGGTTGGCCAAGAACAGCGTGAAATGGCTACTGTTGGTGCCCCTCACGGTTATGCAGATAACACTCACACGTTCACGTGCTATGTTTTCCAGCAGCTGGACATCTTGGTTTAAGGCTAACGGATATCAGCACAATTTAGAAAGTAAGAGCTGAAAAAAATTTTGAGTGAAACGAAACTGCAACAACAACAATTAGATGAGAAGCATAATAGGTTTTGAAGGTCATTTCTAGAACTGGTAGAAACTTCAGATGTCGGCGCCATCGATCAGATGATTAGTTTCCAAATGAAATCCAAATGAAAAGGACATCGAATATTGACAAGACATCTGCATCACGAAATCAGAATTACGAGAAAATTCTCAGACACAATTTAAGTTTGTGCTTTGTGCAATTTTTTAAAATGAATTTATCAATAAGAAGCAACGAAATATTCAAAACGAATGATCATTTAGAATTGCAAATTCGACTCAAATTTTCCACGAATTATAATAAGCAAGCACTCGGAGACATACATAGCCTTGTCGAAAGAGATAATAGTTCCACTTTCCACTGTTCAATACACTCATATAGAGTGGAAAATGATGTGATTAGCATTGTATCATTTTCAACATTTACGTACGTATTTTTCGTACATTTGGGTTAAATATGCTTAATTGAAATATAATTGCAGTTTTAATTATTTAATGGGTAGTGTGTAATTAATTAAACACGATAACTAAGCGAGGATTCGTTCGGAGAACTCTTAACAATTATGATCTCTTAAAGATTATGATCGGAGGAGTTTTAATGTTATATTAGAAAACTTTCTTACTTATTCGGGACAAATTTTCAAACTTCGCAACAAAGTGATTGATTCGAGACGAGACTTGAAGACTAAGCTTCAATAATGAATTAGCTTCGCGACATCTCTTTCGTGAATTAGTAATCAAGCCCACGAAAATAAGATTGATGATTGTGTAAAGATCAGTTAATCATAACTAACAGAATAACAAAATTCATGCAGAGCAGCGGAAAAGAGTGTTTATTTATTTCACTAATAGAAGACGTGAACTTACTATGTATTACGAACTCGCTTATGGAATATGTTCAGTTTATGTATGTGTCTCTAAATAAAATCTCAGTCAGATTCATATAAAAGTTTTATATCGAGTTTCTGTAATCTGTTATGTTAGCTGAAAGTTAGAAAAACAATGAAGTCGAGAAATGTTTCTTTACATTCTCTTTGAAAGTTCAAATTCATAATATTTTTTTTAAATAACTAGAAAGTACGATAATTGAATAATAGATGCTTAGCAAGTGTTTGTGTTCTGAGCCAAAATAATACAAAGTAAAATATAAAACGTGACTTTTTAAGGTATTTTTTTGGAATTATGTTTATGTTATTATAATTATGTTATGAGTAAGTATAAAATGAGTAAGTATCCGTAGGCGGGAGTGAGCAGGGAATATTTTAACGCACTATTGTTGACCTATCTAATTGGAACAAGGCGTGTGTTGTGCAAAGTGAGAGGTCTAGTCTGTAGGCTAAGCTCATGCGCCGATCGTATTATATATACTACATAGATCGCGTCTTAATTTCCCGCAATCTGCGCGGACATCCGGCGGGGCGCCGCGCCGGCCGCGCTCATTAACTTTCTAAATAATTCTCGTCGGCCGTGATTGCGGCGCGGGATACTGTCATCCATTACGAGAGGAACAGGCCGAGCCCAGAAGACAATAAAGCCGATGATAGCATTCTTCCTATAAAAGCAATCTAAAGGCCCATTTACACGGTGCAAGTTTCTTGCCTGTTGTATACAATTAAATTGAAGCAATAAATGAGTTGCATTGTCTAAACAGCACATAACATTCTTGACTGTTGAACAAGACTTGCTTCAAGTTTTGTTTCAAAACTTTCCTTGGTGTAAACAGCACACACAATAATTTCTTAAGCAATTCTTGTATTCAATTGAATTCTCTCTTCCTTCGCAAAAATGAGTGCAATGAGTGAGGGTATTTAATCGTTGCTGTTCTTTTGAGGCAAGAAATATTGAGAAAAGGCCGTAAAAAAAAGTTGGATAAAAATATGAATAATAATATATGGATCATAATAAATAAATCTCAATGAAATATATTGAATCGGCATAATCTAACTTGAACACTTATTATTGAGCCATTTTAAAAAAAAAAAAAACAGCCCTTTGTAAAACGTTCAACACTTGCATGAAAAATTTGTCAACGCAAATACGTGCAATACTTGAAAGCAACACGCCAATAAATTGTACACGCACATACAAGCATCTGTTTAGACAAGTCAAAACTTGAAAGCAATAATCGCCTAAACATAATTGCATTGGTGTAAACAAAAGACATTTGCAATTATTTCTTGTCAAAACTTGCATTCAATAATCGCATTCAATTTTTTTTACTATATCTGCGTGTAAGCTGTTGCTTACAATTCTTGATGGTCAATTATTGCGTGCAACTTATTGCATTCAATTATTGCTCTTGTATTTACAAGAAAATGGCATCGTGTAAATGGGCCTTAATTGTGCAAACTTGTAACGAACATATTGCATTAGGATTTCCGTATCGATTTTTCAGAGCAATGTCATGAGATCTTTAATTAGAGCAAGTAATATTAAAACATGTTACCTATTTAAAAATTACTTCTTTTAGGAACGGTTTTACGGTGGCAGGGCCACGCAGCAGCCGCGGCTGTTGCACGAATGCTAGTCGGGGTAATTACCACGACTTCACAGAAGACCGGCGTAAAGTGGATATAATACTTTCGCCTTTCGTCTGGTGAGTGAAGTGGCTGAAGTCCAATTTTTATAAGTTTATCAACGCATCTGGAACCCTCGGGTGTAGCCGATGTCCATTGGCGGCGGTATTAACTTAACATCAGGTGAACCGTCTGCTCGTCGATTGGCAACTTTTCACACTAAAAAAATACGAGTAACCAAAACGTAGGCTTTATCTATACGCTATATAACGCTATTTCACATAATATATTATTTAAGCCTGTAACTAAAAAGTTGAATGTAACAGCTGGATGACAAGCAAGAGAAATCGATATCAGGCCATTTTATACTGACTTGTACGTTTCCGCCGATACAGGAAATCGTCGTGTAAGACAGATAATAACTGAAATAACGAACCCTGTCACGATAATGCTACATTTGATTTCACGTACATGATTGGTGTGGTGCGTTTAATGTACGTACATTACGTGGCTGTTGAAACAACTAGCCGTTATGGGCATTAGAAATTGGCTACGAGTGATGTATGCGGTGGTCTGTGGAAAGTATTTTTTCACGGCCCGCACCTGCATTTACCGGCTGGAGGACACGGCAATTAATGTTCATTGAAGGACGTACCAGCTGTGACATTAATGGCAGTTAAACCAACTACTAAGTAAGCACATTGCAACATTATTTGGCTGCTGTTCGGAACGACACTGAGCTTACAGTGCATTTGATCCGACGAACGGTGTCGATCTACTCATTACGCCGATACGTCCACAGATAAACCTTCACCCGCATTCGGTGCGCCCTATCGCGCGTATTATTGTCGTTATCGGCGCTGGGACGCCATTCGCCGCCATTTGGCAACAGAGGCCGTTATCATGGCGACCGTGGAAAAGACCGAGCGGCTAGACAGCCGAACCCGCGCCGCCGCAGACTCACCGGCACCTCACGTTCCATTACAATTGCAGAGCGGCAACGCTTCACGCTACAACGGCCTTTGGGGTCAACAGACGTGTGTTATTGTTGCCACCGGCTCAAGGTCGACACACGCGCTATCAGTTACTGCGGACGCGACACTTGCGTATTGTGTGTGGCACATCCTTTAATGTCGGTGCAGCAAGTCCGAACTTTTCCTGTGCTGGGCTCATGCATGAACGGCCCGGATCGTCCGGGGAAGTACCGGCCTCAAAGAAATATTACTTATGCTTTTTTGTTTTGTTCGGAGACAACAAAGTAGTGTTGATGTGCCACCTACCGTCATATCTCATTAAAAACATTTAACGCACAATGTTATGTTATAGCTTCTGTTATAGTACAACTGAGTTAGGTAGAGTTTCAAACCATGTGATACATTAACCTTGAATCACTAATTAATGCTGCTGATAGCGAATGTCAGCCCTGATAAACTCATCGCTTGCATTAAGGTCTTCGGTACGAAGCGTTTAACATATTATCCTGACGGGTTAAAAGTCGAAGAATGTAAATATATTTGTCCGATTGCAAATTCTTCAAGGCAGAAGTGATAAGGCTTTTGTTGGGCCAATACGTCAACTATCTGCGGCGACATATATAACCACTTAAGGCCAGATTGCATATTAATCAAGAACTGGCAAATTCGTTATAAAACAAATGAAAGCAATATATCAAATTTAAATCAATATATGAAACCAGCTATAGTTGAGTGAGTACCTGTTGTTCCTACATTATGTCAGAGGAGTCTTGCTGGACAGGGATTGGCTACATCTTTATTGGCTTCGATTAATACATTCTACAAACCGCTGAAAAAGATTAGTCAAGTGAAGTCCTTCTGCAAGATCCAGGATCCAGGTGTACATAGAAAAAACTAAAGTAATTAACAATAAAAAAAACTAGCGTCAATCGCCAGTCTGCCTCGTTAACCATTAACAGTTCGAAACATCGGAAATTAAAAATAATCCGTTAAAATTTGTTTCATATAAAATGAAATGAATATAGTAATGTGATATAAAATGAAATCGTTTCTTGTTATAAGCTTATTTCTTGTCTGTAGCGCATACTCGGAATTGCACAATTATTACGAGAAATTCGTGCAATAGTTTTGCAAGTATAGGGAACACGCAAATATCATTAATATATCGGCTACATTGACAGAATAGAGCCTCTAGAACAAAAGTAATAGTAAGAAATTTATTAGAGAGCGCTGTTGGGATTTGACGCAATTACAAGTTATGTTCGATTGTTATGTAGGAAGATCTATTAGAGGCACCGCAGTAATGCTGTTGCACGAATGAAATGGATGGGGGGTGAATGGGGGTACAGCGATATGATACATGATAACCTCCTCCTTTTTGAAGTCGGTTAAAAACCAACGTAAATACTATTCCGTTCAGTATAATGGATGAGGTCGGGGGCTCCTATTAAAAGGTTTGCAACTGCAGCCCAAAGAGTGTTTTGGTAGGTGCGTGGAGAACAAACTTCCAGTTGACAAAAAAACAGCTTAATAATCACTATTGAAATATTGGAGAAGTCTTCACCGTGATGAACTATTTAAGGTTTTGGAGCTTTGACTGTTTTGATATATTGCACAAGATATGGGTAGTTTTTTTTTCAGTGTACATAATAAAAATATTAAAATAAAACCAACACAATTTCTTATTGAGTTACAATTTTCGCGTTGCATTCGTGCCACGTCGGCACGTCTAAATAATAAATAAGTAAAAAATAACCCGTTCGCGTTTCCAGAATGAATAAATTAGAACGACAGTGGCCGTGGCATGTTCGAAAACGATTCATCTAACGAAGTTTTATGAAGCGAAGCAACGATAAATCACAGGGCGAACGGGCGGCCCATACAAATTAAGCCCGATGCCTTCATCTATACATTGTGTGATCGAAAAGCATCCGCAGTATCGATGGCGTTTTGGCGGCTCTTTAGTGATATAAAATGGGACTCGCAGATTTTGCGGGGCGACATTCTCGGGGGCACTTTTATTGCGACAAATATTTATAGAGCGCTACGGCCGGCAACACCTACAGGGGAATAGATCGGCCACAAAGCCGTCCGCGAACAGTACTCGCCGCATCTATAGTGAAACTGACGCCGTTCAACTTGTCAACTGCATCTAAATGCAAATGAGAATATTTTGCGACCGTTTATACAAAGTTGTTAGTTTGAAATACTACAACCGTGATAGTGCGGGACGCTTGCTTTCAATTCAAAATACTCGAGCAACCAAAGCCGAAATCCCGGTACCGGTACCGGCAGTTTTAATGTTTAATCTTAAGTTGTTACTTACATTTTACTACAACAAACTACATAGTTCCTACCAATCAGATTAGCGTAGAGTGCATGTTACAGCAACCTATAAATTGCGTCATTTGAGCATCTTCTTAACGGCTAGCGATACAGTTGCATTGCCAGCCATTAAGAAGATAAGCCTGGCACAATTTCTCTGTCTTCCTATTTATACGTACATACTAAATTACATACACGTAAAGCTAATAAAAAGAATTTTAATTTAAAAAATTGAACTCTGAGATCGCTTCTGTATGTCATTTTATCTTTGTTGTGATGATGATTAATAATATGAAGGCTGTATTATTTTACAGTTAAAACACAATACTGATTAGGAGTCAATAATGAAATATACGTTTAGTCAAAGCTGGCAAATGGAGGCTTTAATTATAATTAAAGCTGAAATCGAGCTTTGCACAGGTAAAGGAAAACGCTTGTAACCTCAAAACATGGTTAGTCCGTTTCGCACCCCAGTTTGGGTAAATCTAGATTTTAAAGCCGCCCAGCGCTGCCACGCGAAACGCGATCCGCGAGGGCGCCACGGAACCAATGACCTTTTAGCTTCCTAATCTAACTTTCTTGCTCATAAATTACGTTTCACTGCTTAGAATTCAGCTTTTTAGGGATATAAACCCGAGATTTGTAGCCTTAGGCGGCGATACGATCGCCATTACGGCGTAATTAAATGAAACACTTTCCACGAAGCACTAGTTTTTATGTGAAACTCGATTTAAATTAACTCCACACGTAAGCAGTTCAGTTAATGCTTATAATTGGTCAACCTTTAAATTTTCTTACATATAAGTTTCTAACTCATATAAGATAATAATTACAAGCAGTTCAACGTCATATTAGTTTTCAAATTTCTTACATCATCAATACGCAGTAATATCACCCGTGTTTCATTCCATCAACTCCCACGACGGTACTTCAATGTAATCATGAACGCAATTATCTTCGCCGCGAACTCATTGTCACTTATGATCGCCCCAGGTTATGGAAAACTACAAACAGCGCATAGTTTAGTGGTTTTTTTGTGCAAGCTTCCTTCATTACTTTAAAGTACAATTTGTTGTGTTGCATTCTTTGATTATATACTTGCCAAGTATATAATATAGAATCAAGACAAGTAAATCAAAGACTATTCTAAGCGAATCTAAGTTAAGTTTAACTTTTTGTGCACAATTTTTGGTGTAAATGTTGAATATTGAACTACGCCTATAAATGTACTCAAAAAACAAGTACCAATTATAATATTTGATCATTATAAAAATCAATATGCTGATATCTGTACAGATAAATAAAATTGGAGTGTCTGTTTGTAATATTAAAATAACCGCTTTTTACTAAATGCATATGGATGTATATAACATACACGGTACATGTACCAAAATAACATTTTTTACAATTTTTGTCTGTCTGTCTGTCTGTTTGTTCCAGCTAATCCCTGAAACGGCTGGACCGATTTGGACGGGACTTTCACTGACAGATAGCTGATGTAGTAAGGAGTTTTCTTCCTCTCTGTCTTCCTATTTATACGTACATACTAAATTACATACACGTAAAGCTAATAAAAAGAATTTTAATTTAAAAAATTGAACTCTGAGATCGCTTCTGTATGTCATTTTATCTTTGTTGTGATGATGATTAATAATATGAAGGCTGTATTATTTTACAGTTAAAACACAATACTGATTAGGAGTCAATAATGAAATATACGTTTAGTCAAAGCTGGCAAATGGAGGCTTTAATTATAATTAAAGCTGAAATCGAGCTTTGCACAGGTAAAGGAAAACGCTTGTAACCTCAAAACATGGTTAGTCCGTTTCGCACCCCAGTTTGGGTAAATCTAGATTTTAAAGCCGCCCAGCGCTGCCACGCGAAACGCGATCCGCGAGGGCGCCACGGAACCAATGACCTTTTAGCTTCCTAATCTAACTTTCTTGCTCATAAATTACGTTTCACTGCTTAGAATTCAGCTTTTTAGGGATATAAACCCGAGATTTGTAGCCTTAGGCGGCGATACGATCGCCATTACGGCGTAATTAAATGAAACACTTTCCACGAAGCACTAGTTTTTATGTGAAACTCGATTTAAATTAACTCCACACGTAAGCAGTTCAGTTAATGGCTTATAATTGGTCAACCTTTAAATTTTCTTACATATAAGTTTCTAACTCATATAAGATAATAATTACAAGCAGTTCAACGTCATATTAGTTTTCAAATTTCTTACATCATCAATACGCAGTAATATCACCCGTGTTTCATTCCATCAACTCCCACGACGGTACTTCAATGTAATCATGAACGCAATTATCTTCGCCGCGAACTCATTGTCACTTATGATCGCCCCAGGTTATGGAAACTACAAACAGCGCATAGTTTAGTGGTTTTTTTGTGCAAGCTTCCTTCATTACTTTAAAGTACAATTTGTTGTGTTGCATTCTTTGATTATATACTTGCCAAGTATATAATATAGAATCAAGACAAGTAAATCAAAGACTATTCTAAGCGAATCTAAGTTAAGTTTAACTTTTTGTGCACAATTTTTGGTGTAAATGTTGAATATTGAAACTACGCCTATAAATGTACTCAAAAAACAAGTACCAATTATAATATTTGATCATTATAAAAATCAATATGCTGATATCTGTACAGATAAATAAAATTGGAGTGTCTGTTTGTAATATTAAAATAACCGCTTTTTACTAAATGCATATGGATGTATATAACATACACGGTACATGTACCAAAATAACATTTTTTACAATTTTTGTCTGTCTGTCTGTCTGTTTGTTCCAGCTAATCCCTGAAACGGCTGGACCGATTTGGACGGGACTTTCACTGACAGATAGCTGATGTAGTAAGGAGTTTTTCTTTCCTCTCTGTCTTCCTATTTATACGTACATACTAAATTACATACACGTAAAGCTAATAAAAAGAATTTAATTTAAAAAATTGAACTCTGAGATCGCTTCTGTATGTCATTTTATCTTTGTTGTGATGATGATTAATAATATGAAGGCTGTATTATTTTACAGTTAAAACACAATACTGATTAGGAGTCAATAATGAAATATACGTTTAGTCAAAGCTGGCAAATGGAGGCTTTAATTATAATTAAAGCTGAAATCGAGCTTTGCACAGGTAAAGGAAAACGCTTGTAACCTCAAAACATGGTTAGTCCGTTTCGCACCCCAGTTTGGGTAAATCTAGATTTTAAAGCCGCCCAGCGCTGCCACGCGAAACGCGATCCGCGAGGGCGCCACGGAACCAATGACCTTTTAGCTTCCTAATCTAACTTTCTTGCTCATAAATTACGTTTCACTGCTTAGAATTCAGCTTTTTAGGGATATAAACCCGAGATTTGTAGCCTTAGGCGGCGATACGATCGCCATTACGGCGTAATTAAATGAAACACTTTCCACGAAGCACTAGTTTTTATGTGAAACTCGATTTAAATTAACTCCACACGTAAGCAGTTCAGTTAATGGCTTATAATTGGTCAACCTTTAAATTTTCTTACATATAAGTTTCTAACTCATATAAGATAATAATTACAAGCAGTTCAACGTCATATTAGTTTTCAAATTTCTTACATCATCAATACGCAGTAATATCACCCGTGTTTCATTCCATCAACTCCCACGACGGTACTTCAATGTAATCATGAACGCAATTATCTTCGCCGCGAACTCATTGTCACTTATGATCGCCCCAGGTTATGGAAACTACAAACAGCGCATAGTTTAGTGGTTTTTTTGTGTAAGCTTCCTTCATTACTTTAAAGTAGAATTTGTTGTGTTGCATTCTTTGATTATATACTTGCCAAGTATATAATATAGAATCAAGACAAGTAAATCAAGGACTATTATAAGCGAATCTAAGTTAAGTTTAACTTTTTGTGCACAATTTTTGGTGTAAATGTTGAATATTGAACTACGCCTATAAATGTACTCAAAAAACAAGTACCAATTATAATATTTGATCATTATAAAAATCAATATGCTGATATCTGTACAGATAAATAAAATTGGAGTGTCTGTTTGTAATATTAAAATAACCGCCTTTTACTAAATGCATATCGATGTATATAACATACACGGTACATATACCAAAATAAAATTTTTTACAATTTTTGTCATTCTGTCTGTCTGTCTGTCTGTCTGTTTGTTCCAGCTAATCCCTGAAACGGCTGGACCGATTTGGACGGGACTTTCACTGACAGATAGCTGATGTAGTAAGGAGTTTTCTTTTTATTTTAAATTCCACGCGGACGAAGTCGCGGTCACAGCTAGTAACTAATAATTCCATGGCTACAGCTTTGTATCAATGTGTTACTCTCAACGTGTCCACAGGTTTTGTAATTTTTTAACCAGAAAATTTCTTAAATATAAATAAAATGTCCCTTATATTACTCATGGATAAAGTGGCTTTTTAAGCAAAAAAACAAATTTGCATCTTGACGACGTAAAATATACAGATAAGTATATAGATAAGGACAATAAATAGTATTTATTCAAATGTAATGTAGTTCTTATTACATTATTGAAAACACTATCCCATAAAACGGGGGTTTTATAAATATAAAATGATCTGGTCATCTGTAAGGTGTTGTTACGCTGGTATCGGATGGAAATCGAACCCACAATTCGCAGAACCACAGTCATTAAGTAATGCGAATGAGAAAATGTTGTAATACGACTAGTACATGTATATTTTTTTTTTATTATTATATTACGGGAAAATCTCAATGAATGGATCCGGGTGTTGAGTGCGATAGAATGGATCAAGTTCGGGTTGAGTACAGTCGTTTGAAAGTGGCACCAGTGACTGGGAGGATAAGGAGTAGGTGGACATGGGGACACATCATGGGAAAGGACGAAAGTCATGCGTGACTAAAAAGATGGTGTAAGCCAAAGCAGAAAGATTTAATAGACTGTGTAGATTTATATGCCTTTGAAAGAGGTCAGAGGATTAAGATGCGAGCTAATAGAGAAAAGGGAAAGAGACGTGACATTGGCAGAATTCTATTAAGAGAAACCATTATTAATCAAAGGGGAAAGTAGAAGAATGTGAAAGAGATGGACATATTGTGCCGACAGTGCAAAAAAGAAAAAGATTACAGGTAATTGATAATGTCACGAATCTCAGTACTGAGTAAAAGCAGAACAGGGGGTGAAAAAAATTGAAATTTTATTAAGCCTGTTGGCTATTAGAGGGTAGTGGTTAAATAATTTTTGTTCGCCGCAAATGGTAAAATCTACCGTTTGTTACTAAGTTTCGTTGTGCCTGCCGCCTATGCAATAAAGGAGTGGCGCGGTAACCTTACGGAAAGCACAAATATTACGTTGCTAAAACTTTCCGCCGAATAGCAAACTCAATATAGGCACTTCGCTAATGTTGCTGCTGGTGCAAGGAAACAAAATTGGTCAGAAGAGAAGCGGCCGACCATTGTCTTCAACACCGAGTCGGGGGTTTAGATGGAATTTGTAATATTTAACAAATCCATGCAAACAAAACTGCCATATTGTTCGTACAAATATCGACCGTAGGCCGGTATTATATACTTACCAGGAAGGGCTCATAGACGACATTGTTTTAAGTATGAAATAGCGACAAAAGTACTCTATCTGAAGATGGTTTTTAAGCAGTCCAATTATTCTATTCCAATCATCTTACTTATATACTTCTAAAAATATCTGATATTTAATTTACAAAGTATTAAATACACACGACGAATTAAGGTGTGCGAGCCGTAGCGATTTTTCTCAATCCAAAAAGTCAAGGACATCAGAGCTGTTGGCACAAAAACTAACCGGCTGTCGATTTAACCGCTATAAGTGTTAAATAATCCGTATCTACGTCGCCTCTGTGTAGAATGCTATGCTACGTACGGAGGGCGTGTTTACAAGTGTATGTACGTAGCGTCGCAGACCACGGCCGCTTCCCGAAACTTCCATGGCCGGTGCACGTCGTGATTTCCGATTCCAGCATTGTCCGTGGTCGCTACCTGTGAACACCTAGCTGGGCACGACTACCGCTGTGTACGGGTTCAAGGTCGCGCGTCAAGGTCATCGATAATGAACAAAGAAATGGCTCAATTGAATACACCATGTCGACACGTAACCGAAGCACAGGCGTAATATTAGGTAGAGAACCGGTTCCTATGAAAATAAACAACTATCGAACGTCGACAATAGGCAACCCGGCGGGACGGGTATGCTAATAAGATTCTAATAGGTCTCGCGATTAGCGAACGCGTAGCTGTGTACATAGATCGTGTATTGTTTTAGCGTTTGCACAGTTTTTGTAGAGCCGCGCGCCTAACAATCGCGGCGAGTTGAGCAACCGGTCGTGGATGCGCACGGTCCACGGCTGAAGTCGAGCACGGCGAGGCAAGGGAAGGGAAGGTAAAGGTAGCGCGGCCACTCACCGGTGCCGGCGCGCTCGGCCTCGTCGTCCGACTCGGTGCCGGAGTCCCGCTCCTCCACCTGCAACAAGAAGCACACCAGCTCAGAGCGCGCTCGAACGGCGGGCCGCGACGCCGGCTAGTAGGTGCTGCCGGCGACGGCAGGCGCCGCCCGAACGAGCCGCGGCCGTTTCCAAATCGGCTTTTGTCAGATTTCGTCCGGAACGAGATCGAGCAGCGCGCGAGAGCCCGCGACCGTTCCGCTCCTTTGTTCTCGCGGAGCGGGCGGCCATTTTCTGGTGGCGGTGTGACCTTCGCGGCGCGAAGCCGGCCGCCCGGAGCCGACACCCACCTTCTCGGAACCGTTCTCCTCATTCAAGGAATGCGTCCGCAGCTTGTGAGTCAGGAATTTGAGCATTATTGAGCCTCGGCTCGCTCCGATCGTCCTCCGCAGCACACACACCGCCGCGATCAGCGGCACGCACTACTGTCGCGATACGGCCACGAATATTACGCGAATTAGACGCTTGCACGCCTATGGCGAACGTTCAAAAAACATTTTAAACCTAAATAACATAACCGCATATCACTTGCGCGCGCCGCCGCCCGACCGCCTCCCTCGGATGCCGGACTACTACTAGTCTTGTTGGAGTAGCCTTGCGTACGACGCAGTCAGCTGAAGTGGGCACGACTCATTAATGCCGAAAGGGCTTATGAGCGTTCGCGTTAAATACGACTCGTTCGGACGGACGGAGTTGGCACATAACAGGGCAATATCAAAGAATGTTCATTAGAGTTGTCCCTGTGACTTAAGGTAGCCCAAATAAAGCGTAAAAGCTTCTCAAGTGCCACTCGAAATGGACTCGCCCGGCAATCCATTGATGACAAAGAACCGGAACACGCAGAGATCGGACGCGATTGGACAAAACATTACAGAATAGGATCGAAATTTAATGCAATATCGTGCGTCCCGCTCTCGCACCGCGCGGAGGCTCGTCACGCCACTCGCCTGTGCGACAGGGACGGCGATAGCGCACGTTCCAGTTATATAACAGCGAGCTGATAATCTATCGCTGATAAAAAGTTGCGCATGTTACAAACCTATGGACATGCCCTCCACTAAAATTTTACTTGTGCTCGAAATGATTCTTTTTACATCCACTCTATGCTAAAGCTCTTTAATCATTTAGGTAATCTTACTCGGATTAGGTATTTTTACATTATGCTAGTTTACAGGACATTTGTGTTTGTAACAAAAACATTAACGGCATTTTGTTTTTCACGTTACTACATGTTCTGTGTATGATTTGAGAACAAATTTAAAATATAATAAAAGTTGGTGATCAAAATATGGACAAAATTCAGCAAGACATATCCACAATATCCTGCCAACTTTTCGTTACACCGGGGTGACACAATGAATAGGCGGCCATGTTACCTGCGCGCCGCATTCTGCGTCCGGATAGCTTTGCGCGCCAATTTCGAACTCGTCTTAGAATATATTCTTTTTTTCAAGTTTAATTTCGTATACTATTGAGCAGAATTTCACAAGTCGTAATTTATGGCAAATGCAATTTCAAATTATAGTTTTATTTTGCGTATTATTCAGCAGAAATTAACGAGTCCTTTAGTTTTTTATGGCTGACAGTTTACTTTTTCCTTTAAAGGATATCGATAAAAAGAGAAGAGGGGGTGGGGAGGAGATATATGATTAAACGTATGTCTGCAACATTTAACAAAACAACATTTATTACAACTTTAACGAGCAACACGAATGTATTTTGGCTTATAACAAACAGAAAAGTTACATAACGAACGCTTAAAGCTAATCTTGAAATACGTATAATATATCCAAATGATAAACATCTATACTAACAAAGACCAAATTGGTTTCATACATACAAAAATTTGTATGTTCACACAATTCTGATTAAATATTGCAGCAACAGAAACGCCAAGAAAATTTACTATTGACATAGGATATGTTACTTCTGTTCAGTAATGAACAAATATTGAACTTATCTTACAATAGAATATATTATTTACACAAACAAAAGAGCATGCATCCTCATAGTCAGCTAGTATAAAACACATCCACAAGGTCATTAGTTCCATCATGCTGTATAAAAGGTTACAATGTAAGTTGAATCTGTTTATAAATTTCATCATAAAAATATAGTACAAGTCAATATTTGAACATTTCACCTAGGTTTTCAACATATTTATTATTAAAGTACAATTCATTCATTATAAACGCTATTATAGTAAATTTTCACAACTAATATGTTAGAAGGCACATTTGAAACTCGTTTCGTTAAATTGTTATTTATATGTATAATAGAAATGCACAAAGTGTTGAATTTCAAAAATAATAGGCATGTAGGAGAAGGTCGGGACCCTTCGTACGGTTTTTACATTTTATTTATTTTCATTTCAACGATTCCGTTAAACTTAGTACATACAGTGCTAGTATATTAGTCAGAGATTAATTAAAAAAATCTTTGGATGATATCTTGTTGCTTGCACCATTATAAATTAAACCTAATCTGAAGTCAATGGTACGAATCTGCCCCACGTTTGGGGTAATTTCATACATTGCGATTAGAACTGCAAATAGCATATTTTTTATTTATGTGGACAGAAAATAACATTTACAAAATGAACAAAAATAAATGACTTCACTTCTAGTCAACAAATAATACAAGTAAATAATCTTCAAGTTAACAAATTATTAAAATAATTTTCTTACGTTATATTTTTTAAATGCTTATAATTTAGCACCATTTTCCTGTAAAGAAGAATATTAAATACATATTATAATAAAACAGACACGAACGGTCGGCATGGGACAACTTCATATGCGTACGTATGTGCCCCAGGGTGTTCTGTACGAAAGTGAATTAATAATTAAATATAACCTCGTTTTATATCCATACACAAAATAGATAATTCGTTTTTAAAAACATATTTTAAAGATATTTACTAGTTACCGGTAGAAAAACTTATCATATCTAGTGTAATGATGCACGTAAACTTTAATCAAAAAATTAATTACCGAGCGCGAAAATTTTCTGTCTGTCAGTTTGCTCTCCATGGTTGGGATGGCGTGAAACTACATTGACGTATTGATAGCTAGGCCCATTATGCACACATCCAACAGGAACGCCCGCTAGCTTGTCGTTTGTGTTTTTTAACTAATGTGCCCCGCGCACGAATGGTGCCCACCTTCCCCTATATGACTCATTATTGATGAAATCATGTATACTTTTCATTTAGGTTATAGACAGACAAATAAGGTTATTAGACAGACAAATAAGGTTATACAATAAGTAGGTGTAAAGATATCAACAAATGTTCCTAATATGTTATTACAAATATCATATTATATTCGCCTAATTATGGGTTAGATTGTAATGATAAAAATGATTCAAATACTAAACAATAATTATTAACGAAAAACAAAACAGAATTCAAATATCTGGCTCTGTATTAATTCTCTAATTGATTTTAAGGAGTTTCTTAAATATCTCTGGAGCCCAAGATCTAATGAATACCAATGAATTAATATGGGATCACATTAAGGGAAGCACCAGCTTTCAAATAAATAAAAAAATAATCATTAAATTCGGTTCACTCAGCCGAAAGTTATGAGGTAACAAACATAAAAAAATTACAGTTGAATTCACAACCTCCTCTTTTTTGAAGTCGGTTAAAAAAGGCGCATTCCGACTTTGAAGCGTAGATTTAGATAGCTTTTTATGGTTTTCTATGATTGGACATTAGAAAATTGAATGAATTAAAAACATAAGGCAATTGTATGCATTATTACAAATGATTGGCAACTTGACTACTCATCCAGTAAATTTTATAATTTCTGAGGTTCTATCAAAACCACTATAAAACACACTAACACAACAAAAAACAACCATTTTTACACTGCAAGTTATTTGAATAATACTAAACTACTTTTACGTGGCCAAACAAACTTTTATTGAAATTAAATGGTTTTAAAAGGTTTTTTATTAAACAGGTTTCCTTAAAAGTTGTCGTTGCCGGAAAGTTAATAGCTTGTCTATATAACTGTCAGGTTTGTCTGTATGACTAAAACACTTTAATACCATATCTTTACCATAAAGATCCAATAAGCTTGGCTTAATCATAAGCTATTAAAGGATAAGAAGGTAGAAATAAATTATTAGTTATTGGTTGAACGAGGCGTTTGATAATGAATACAATAAACATTATCTCGTTAGAATCAGTGTCATTATAATTATTTCAACAACTATGATAAAATTGTAAATATTATAAAATTGTAATATTATAATTATAGATAGGAAGACATTTTTTTGAAGGCAAGAAATCGTTGCAACCTTAAATTGATGTCATATACATGGTACATTAATTCACATTACTGATTAACATGGTCAATACTAATACAAATTTAAAACTTTAATATCAAATTATTATACACCATTTTGTTCTTTATATACAACAAAATATACAACATAAACCTAATTATTCAAACAGTCAATCAAGAAGCATTAATGTTTATTGTATTTTTTGTATTCAGGGTTCAGGTCAGTAGAGTTTATGGTAAATGTAAAGAACATTAATGTTCGAGTAATACAATTACAATAATTAATTTTAAACGATATAGAAAATCCCTAATGAATTATTGAACAAGCAGAATTCGCCGGTCACATTTTCGAAAAAAAAAAATAAGTAATATAAATAGTATAGTATAATTTTCACTACAGAAATTTGCCATTTTATTGTTCTCAATATGTCAATTCTGCTCCTATTTCTGGGTTATAAAAAAGAAGTTAACCAAGGAGGCTTTCTAACCTAATATATCAGAGTCGGATTGCTCTGTGTCGGTTCTGTGACTCGTTAAATAATAATTTTGAACAAAAAAAAAACCGACTTCAAACAGGAAACTAAAAGCATTGTCAACACATATAACATTTGAGGATTGCCCTCGATTTCTCTGGGATGCCATCATCAGATATGGGTTTCCTTATCATGGTACAACCCTTGGGATATCTCCTTTCCAACAAAAAAAGAATCTTTAAAATCGGTTCATATATGACGAAGTTATCCCCGAACACACATTAGAAAAAAAATATATACGAATTGAGAAACCGCCTCCTTTTTTGTACTCGGTTAAAAAAAACTATCGATACGAGTATAACATCGCCCGCTTTCTATATTTATCATGTTGGCAGAACTGTGTATTGAGTTTTTGAAGTCAAATTAATAAAATGGCGGACTTTCTTAGTGAAAATAACAAGTTTTAAATAATTTTTTCTCGAAAATTATAAGCGACCGGAGAATTCTGCTTGTGGAAATCGTTCAAATCGTATCGTTTCAAATTTATTTTAATTGAATTAAGTGAACGTCAATGTCCTTTACATTTGGCGAATTTGTTACTTTCTACTATAATTAAAATATTTTTCTCGTTATGGGCTGATACAGTATTGTTCTAGATTTAGTTGAAATAATATTTAATTTGATACACAATTTCATATTTTCTTCTGTACAGCTGAAAATATTGAAATTCTTATCAGGAAATAGCCTAAAACATATTTCATCATCAACACAAAGTATCAGAACTTTTAATTTTTTTTCCGTAATGTAAAAGTCTGTGATTCAAAGTTCATAAACATCATAAAACTGATTATCTTATTTACATATTAGATAGTAGCTAAAAATATTGCTAATTTTAAGAGGAAATAAAAAATAAATTGAGTTTACTTTTTAGATAGAGTTGACTCCGTGGCGTAGTTGCTAAGGCTTCGACGTTGGGGTCGTGGGTTCGATTCTCACACGGGACAACTATTTGTGTGACTCACAGTTAGTTGTTTCGCATCTGGGTGTTTGTCCGCGTGAAATTTATATTTGTAAAACGTACTTACAACACAGGATGATGTTATCTTAAAGTAAGGGCAATGATTATAAAAAAAAAAAAAAAAAAAAAAAAAAAAAAAAAAAAAAAAAAAGATCAGGTGCAGTGGCGAGTACTCAGAGTAGTATGGGTGAAGTACGCCTCTGGATGAAGTAGGTTTTTTATTATTAATACTCTTCATGTAGCAAAATGCATGTAGCTTTCTCAGTGTGATGTTTATGTTGTCAACATCCTAGAATGACCGCCTCAGAGGAAGAGCAGCTCCTCGCTGAGGTAGTCCGGGTGGTCGGCCACGTAGCGCAGCAGGCGGTCGACGGCGTCCCCGAGCGGCTGCAGCAGCGGCTCGAGGCGGCGCAGCTGATCGCCGGCGAGGGCGTCGGCGGGCGCCAGGTCGCGCAGCAGCGCGGCCGCCGCCTCGGGCAGCGCGTAGCGCCGCAGCGGCGTCACCAGCGGCACCAGCTCCGCCTCCAGCCCGGAGATCCTGCCCATAGAGTGCCCATACATGTCCCCCTGCTGGGCAAACGCCTCCTCTATTCAGAGGGTATCAGGGCATAGGCCACCACGCGGCCCCACTGCGGATTGCCAGTTTCCTCACGATATTTTCCTTCGCCGCGGAGCACGTCAGCACTTACAGTTAAAAACTTCCTTGATGTCGGCACCGGGAATCGAACTCAGGTTGCTCGAGTATATTGAAGTAAAGGCGAGCACCCGAACACTAAGCTATAACGGCTCACGATTGCCGGTAGATGGCATTGTTATTCGTTTCATTAAGATAGAATCAATTTTATTGTGTAAAAGTTAGTAAAGAAAGAAAGAGGAATGTGCAAGTTTGCGGGAAGTCGATGGATGCCGATGGCTCGGGATCATGCTTCATGACAGATTGGAAGACCTATATCCAGCAGTGAACTTATAAACGGGCTGAAATGATGAAACTATGTTTACGGATTTATCGCATTCAATTTTAGTTTTAATTCCCGACGTTTTGAATACTTTACAGCATTCATGGCGTTGGACTTCTGAGTGTCATTGTTAATCCATGATACCGACAGTTTTAAAAATATTAATTTTTGTGTCGATCTACGCAAAACATAATTAATAAATAATTAACATGCTAATTGCAATTTTATCATATCTTGCATTTGTAGTTTGTTGGGGCCTAGACATAATTTTTAGTAATAATAGGATCCCAAGTTGATGGTAGCACCCGACCTACTTCTCTATTGAAATTAAGGTGTTTTTTAATTTCAGGAATCGGTTCTTTTCTATTAAACCTGATATAATGGTTGGGGCGATTTAAAGGCGGATGAAATTTCGATGACGCCAAAGAGAGTGAGAGAGGTATAGAAAGAGCGAGAGAGAGGCTCGTGGCACTGACTCCGCGACGAAGTATTTCCTGTAGGGCAGCTCGTCCGTGGCGTCGGGCGCGGCGGCGGATTCCGCCATCAGCCGCAGCGCCAGCTGCAGCAGCGCGTCGCCCGCGTGCGGACTGCGCGCCACCACGCGCCCGCCCAGCAGCGGCCGCTCCACTGTGGATGGATGCTTTCTTAATAAATACATTATACACTTGGTGTACTTGTGAACCACCACCACTACGACCTACTAGATCCATCGTAATCAAATCCACTTCCCTTCGAAAACATCGTCCCTTTGCTGTAGGACAATATTATCCTACGTTGTAAGGATGTTTTACGTCTATATGGATAAATCAAATTGGATTGTCTGTTTGTAATATTAAAATGATTGTTTTTTAACAAATGTATATACAGAACATGTACCAAAATAACCTTTTTTATAATATTTGTCTGCCTGCCTATTTAACTGTTTGTTCTGGCTAATCTGTGAAACGGCTGGGCCAATTTTAATGTGACTTTCACTGGCAGATCGATGATGTAGTAAGGAATAACTTAAACTATTTCTCTCTTAGACATTTTATTTATTTTTATTAATTTTTATATATACAAATTACGTGTCATGATGTTTGTCCGCGATGAACTCCTAAACCAGTTTTAGTTCCAGGGATTAAAATAGATGGCGTTAGAATGCTCACGGCGCAGGCGGTCGCCGTGTTTGCTTAGCGCGGCGCCGTAGAGGCAGGCGGCCTTGGGCGTCTGCAGCAGCAGCACGCGCGTGGCGGGGCGGCGCAGCAGGGCGCGCAGCCAGGCGGCGGGCGCGGCCGCGGCGCGCGCCTGCACCGCGCCGGAGAACAGGTCCAGCACGCGGCCCGGCGCCGCCAGCGAGGCCAGCTCGCCCACCAGCCGCGCCACCTCCTCCATGGCGGCGCAGTCGCGCGCGTACAGCAGCAGCACCGCCGCGCCCTCCTCCGCCCCCGCCTCCGCCTCCGCCTCCGCGCCCGCCTTGGCCGCGGACGCCTCCTCGCTGCGGAAGACAGAGCTAATGCGATCGCCTGGTGTAGTGAGATCTAGCTGCTGCCGTAGTGAAAGGTGTACGCACGCCCGCAGCCAGGCGGCGAGCACGGAGCGGCGCAGGCGCGCGGCGAGGCGGGCGCGGAAGGCCAGCGCGAGCGCCGCCGAGAGCAGCGCCAGCGCCGCGGCCGCCGCCGCCGCCGCCCAGCGCGCGCCCCACCCGCCCTCGGCGCCCTCCGGCCCCAGCGGCCCCAGCCCGTAGTGCTCTGCGCGCGTCCAAAGAAAGAAATACACCTCGCCCGGCGGAGACCGGCGCCTCACTCAACGCGGACAGCGGACGCACCGAACTCGGCCAGGGCGCCGTGCTCGGCCACGCGGCCGTAGCCCCAGGGCGCCTGGTGCGAGAGCCGCATCGAGTAGGCGCCGCGCTCCACCCGCAGGCGGCACCGGATCTCGTGCAGCTGCGCGGTGCAGTTCTGCGTCACGTCCTCGCACGGCTGCGCCGCCCCAACAATGTCTCGTTAGCGGCGGATTACTTTGACAACGCCCACCCCCTTTCCCCCATAAAATACGTCCAAAGTTAAAGTTAGACGGTATTAAATAAAATAATGATGTAATTTATTAATCGATAGCTTTTTCTAACCTAAAAATTAATAAACTGACGACAGCGAATTCAAAAACGAATTTCCGCCCATGGACATCTAGAACACCTGACACATCGCATAAACATAATACTGCCACTTCACATTTATAAATTTGCAAGCAAACATTTGAATTTATACAATTTAAGCAAAAACTAAATTAGACCCGTATAGCCGTTAATTAATCAAATTGTTTTCAAAATAACTGCAATTAAATCTTAATGCAATTTACCACATTTAATTATTGCACACACTGCAATGTTTCCGTGCGAAGTAATGGCTATGACATAGTTTAGCATTACCTGTCACCGTATTTGTATTATAATTTCATGGTTCTTACTATATAATATCAAAGGAGAGTACGAAAAAATACTATAATTTCGTGAATTTACATAAATGATCAATATAAATGCCAATCCAACATTAAAAAAGGTTTATTAGGTTGTAATAACGTTGTTGTTTTTAAACAATACAAAGTGGATGATTTTACCATATGTTACTGTCAATTACTACCACGGATTAATTTTTTTATGAATTTCTATACTTGACTTGTTTATAGATGTTTAATAGTATGACTATTAAATAAGAAATAAAAATAATGCATAAACGTCATTTCATTGTGTTGTGATTTTGACGCTATCAAAGATGGCACCGAAGGTGGGAATTGTACTGATTTTATCCCTACTGAGGAATAGGATAAAAATCTAAAGATGAGACAAGTTTTGAAGAATTGATATACTTGGAAGAGGAATGCTTGTTAAAATTAAAATTATAAAGTGTAACGTCAGTTTGGGTAACTTTGAACATTTTTTTACAGAATTTGTGCTATTACAATCTGATTTATATCTATTACACCTTTATTTTATTGAATAATTAGTGTCCTTTTGAGTTGGTTTATTTTGCCGACTCAATAAATTTACAGAAAAGCAACAGAACTATCCACAATTTCCCTCCAAATTCAAATTTATCGTAAGTTTAGGTACCTTTGAATATATTTTTTTTAGGATGTAAAAACCGTCATTATTCGTTAAAAATTACATCTAAATTAACGTTTAAATGTGATATTGCATTGAAAGTTTATTTTTTTTACTTTTCGTTATGTCAAAACATTTTGCCGATCGTTTTACGCAGTTATGTTATTGAAATAAAAAAATAGTTTTGTAATAAATTAGTAAATCTTTTTCACAACATTGTTCAAAGTTAAACCGCAATTCAAAGTTACCCAAAACAACTACTATTTTAGTTTTTATAAATACTATCCTTTTAAATTTTTTCATCATACCTAAATTCAACACTGCCTGTCAGTTTAATTTTAGCGTGTACTAAGGTAACAGCCGTGATAATTAACGGAATTCAAAAAGTCATTGCCTACAGTGTTGGCTAATTTAAACACTAGTTAACCCCAAAGGAAAAACATCCGCACAAACAACAAACATTTTTATTCAATACTAGCGACCCGCCCTGGCTTCGCACGGGTGCAATGTATTATACATATAAACCTTCCTCTTGAATCCACTCTATCTAGTAAAAAACCGCATCAAGATCCGTTGCGTAGTTTTAAATATCTAAGCATACATAGGGACAGACAGATAGCGGGACGACTTTGTTTTATACTATGTAGTGATAAACTATACTCGAGCGCGTTTAAGTCTATAAAACTAAACGTTAATCAAAATTACATTAGATCTAACGAACCCCTTCAAGGATAATTTTATGAAAAGTTTTAAATAATCTGGAAGTTAAAACTAATAAACAATCAATTGTTAGTACGCGGAGATAATAATGGGTTTTATTTATTGCCCACACACTTTGGCACCAGCGCACGAGCGTAAGTTTATCTATGTTCGGTAAGGGGTTATCATTTTAATTATTTCGTAAAGGAGAAGTCACATTAGTTTATCAATAATAGAGTCATTTAATCCTTGTTATGAACATGTCTGAATGGGTGACGAAAATCCCAATCTGACGCCGAGTGTTTATTGCGTACATTTTCCTTAAGCTGATCAAAAAAACCGGCAAACTGCGAATCGAACTAGGGCACGAAGGGTTCCGTAACATTATCTATAAAAACGGCAAAAAAATCTTTTGTATGGGAGCCACACTTAAAATATTTATTATTCTTATGTTCAGAATTACATGATCGTGTTTTTTTGATACAGGCTGGTGACAAATAGATGGACAGACAGAGAGTGGATTCTTAGTAATAGGACCCCGTTTTACACTTTGGGTATGGGACCCTAAAAAGCAAGCAAATCTTGCTATAATCATAAATGCGACTAAACTTACATGTTAACAAAACAAGTTAATCATCATAAAATTTTCCCAATAACAGATCTGCTGCAACTAAAATACTTGCTTATGAAATATTGCACAAAGTTTGATTTGATATACAGAGCTTCATGTAAAATGGGATAAACTATTGAAACCATCAGTAATAAAGAAATAATTGCATTCAAATGAGAACTACACATTACTGTGTGAAACTATTGTTAAGGCCTTTATAGCATTTAATTGTAACAATTAAGTCTTATTTTTTGTTTTATTTTGCCATTGGCTATAGAGGCAACTGGTTAAATAAAACAGTAGAGTACAATAGCATGCAGAACCCACCCATAAATCAATAAAATAATCCAGTGTATTAAAAGGAGAGAATAAAAAAACAAAGCCACATAAAGTTTCATTTGTGTTCAAACACAGGGAGGAATCATTTTCATTAAGTAAATGTAAAAATCATATTGTTATTTACCTCTTCAGGTAAGGTGCTGTTAAGTTTGCATACGTCCATGGTGAAGTTGACAGCAGGGACAGGGCCAAGAAACCATATTGCAGACACATAGTCACTGAAATAGTCAAAATAAAATTTGAAAATGTTGTTATACAATAGGAAACCAACAGGTGGAAATACAGATATAAAAAAACATAATCAACTTAATTAAATATAAATTGATTAATTTATGTTTAAACACAAAGTTGCAAATCAGTAAAAGACATGGGAGCTTTGAGCATGTTTCGGTATACATATTTATGTGGAGATAACAGAATTATAGTGAACGAAAATAACAATGACCATTTCTGAAAATGCCTATTATATTGATGTTTTGGTACACATAGTTTAGAGTTTCTTAAAGCTGAAAAGCTGTACCAGCATGTAAACTTGGCCAAGCGTAAATTTGTGATATCTTGCGGTTTTTTTTTGTTAATCCGAACACATTAAAGTTTTCTAATGACCAAATTTTCACATTCAATAAGGATTTTTCATGTTTATTATTAAGTTTCATCAAAAAAAACCAATTTTTGACAAAATTTGACACTAGAGTTTTAGGCACTTGAAACTAAAAACTTTTTAATAACACGTGTTTCCTCTGCAGCCCACACAACCTCTCTTCTCTTCTTACTCGATCCCTCAATGCTGAGGATCGTGACCACATGATGTTCTCCTCCACCGCGCGTTGCATGCTGCCGCCCACCGCGTTCTTCACTACGTCAGCACTGTATATAAAAATGGGAATGACCAATGCTCGTACCAAGACAACGCGCATTTTAGGTGCACGTCGAATACCAAGGTTCTTTCATATATGGCAGTGTTGGTGCTCGGTCTACCACCATTATTTTAATTTTAGAATGGTTGATCTCAAGACCCACTTTTGCACTCTAGTTGCGTTTTCGAACATCAATATCATGCAATGTGATTCAGCACTTGTCTGTAAACAAAATTCTTGCCCATTGCTCATGATTGTTGTAAAAAACATTTTCAAGATTTCCAAGGTGCCTTTACATGTTCAGTTATCACAGTAAAACCAAAAAAAAACCTCCACAACTTCGCACTTTCTTCCAGAACACAAATGAAACATCATGCGGTCCAAAAAATGACACAGTTTCTCTAAAACTTTAAAACACAAAGCAAAATGTATTACATATTTATTAATTACCCTTGTACGATTAACATAAACATTATTTCAACCTACATGGTAAGAACAAAGTTAGACAAACTTAAAAAAAAATCAAATGAGTTTGCAAAAATTTTAGTGTGGCTATATAATATAGTTCATATTTATTCAAGAACTTTTTTAACACACATATTGACATAAAAATACAAGGTTTTAAGAAGGAAATAATATACAAAAATGTACAAAAGTCTGCAGTACAATAAAAATAAATAACTCCATATTTAGTGTTCTATAAAATGTTAAACATAATTTATGGACATGCTTAGGGCTTGCCATCATCCAAACATGCTCGCTTTTCAAATCATCCTTTGTCTTTTGCAATCTTTGCCTATCCCTGTTGGTAAGTGGCATTAGTGCCAAACATGTTTATCTCTATTGCAGAAAATCTCTGATAGTGGAAATAACACCAATAAATCACTTAGTTTATCATTACAACAAACAATAATAAAGTTTTTTAATTTACTGTTTATTTTTTTAAATAAGTAGCTAATTACTTACTTATAGTTAACAAATTTTACAGCAGGAGTACTGTTTCTTAATGTTTTTATATTTGTGAAATTGTTTGTTACATAGTGAAAAGAGTCATGGCCTTCCGAACTGCGAGATCCTCTTAATAACATACTTTTAATAGTGTAGCATGCTTTGAATATCAAGTCCACTGAAGTTGAAAAGCAGGCCTGTAAAAAATCACCCTATGTTATATTTAAAGAAATCACAAAAGACTATTTTCAAAGAAATGACAGTGTAACTTAATTACTCCAAATAAATTATAATATTTTAAATATTACTTATTCACATTATATGTTAAACCTAATGTTCATGGCATGATGATAAGAATGCTTGCTTGGCTCCTTGCTAAATAGATATATTTAACTATTGAGCAAGAAGAGAATTGGATCTTTTGACACCAGACACAATAGTGAACTATTTTTTTAAATTGTATCATACTAGTTTCCCGCCCCAGCTTGGCATGGGTGCAATGTATTATATATATAAAACTTCCTCTATCTAGTTACAAAAACCGCATCAAGATCCGTTGCATAGTTTTAAAGATCTAAGCATACATAGAGACAGACAGACAGCGGGATGACTTTGTTATACTATGTAGTGAAAAAGACCCCATGAAAAAATGCAACAGTGCAGAAAAACTGACAATAAGCATAATATGTACTTACATTTGTGCAATTGAGGTTGAAATTGACATCTTGTTTAACATGTGAATGTGCTTGCCCTAATAATGGTGGGTGCTTTAAATCATAATTTTTACATTGTTCAGGCTTCCTTGATTCGTAGAATCGGATTAGTAGGTCCCATTCAGTAACATTTCTATCTGCCTCTGTACACCACAACACAGTATATCGTCCTTTTACGCCGTCTGATGAAGGCTCAAAGGACATGGTAGATTCAGAAGTATTGCTACATTTCACACTGTACTCAGCTTTTGTACAAATGATAAAAAAGCAAGCCAAAATCGAAAATTTTATCATTTCGCCCATCTACAGTCTCACGAGTATATCACTAACATGACGGAAGTCGATTATGTGATCAATGTCTAAAATAAAATGTAAATCTGATATTTTGCAAAGCCTAAGAACTTAAATAAAAAATAAATGTATCACATTGGTATCGTTAATTGCCACTATACAGTTTACTTTCACAAATGTAAATATGCCGCTTCAATTGTATAGATAAAGACTGACGAGTGTCTTTACTTAAAACGTCTAAACTTAATGCTTAACTGGTTATTAATCAGTCTAAACAAAAATAGTTGTTTTTGATTCGCTATTGTACAAGAATATTGCTAGTGATAAAGTAAATAAATTATTACAAAATGTGCACAGATATACAAGATACAGTGGCAATGGCAGGAAGGCTTTAAAATCCAAAACGTAGTGCTTTAAAATAAACGTAGTGATTACATTCCCTTTGATTACATTCTCTTTGTTAAAATCGATAACATGGGAGATATTTAAAATCGATTGTCTAATTTTTTCAATTTCATCTCCCTTATAACAATAAGATTTTAGGTATTATATTAATATCAATGGAAGGAAAACATTCAATAAAAACCTAATAACTGTGAAATATCACTATTTCTTATATATTGAAACAAATTAAAATAATTATCTCAAACAATTAAATATTTTATTTAAACGTTTATTTAATTTTATTGAATGGTTTGTCTTTGATTTTAATTATAATTATTAATTTATCAGTGTTATTTTTTTGTAAAACATCTGTGGACAACCTTTTCAACTTTTAGCATTATGTATCTCTTAATATTATAAAATATATTCTTAATTGAATCAATTCGATATATTCTAGCGTAATATAGCATAGTTATGACATTTAAACTAGTGATAACCTTTTTTTTTCGTGGGGAAATCCTGCATTGGATACCTATCTACCAACAGTGGGTAGACGAGTTATGTCGATTTCATATTCTACAGCGCTCTCAACGTTTAATCCGCCTCTGATTCCTACCGACTAAAACCCCACGTTACTCATCTTTAGTCCTGATGAGGGGGCACGGGATCTCCTAAAGGAACGCAACCGCGGCCCCTCTGACTTACCAAGTAGCCCAGGCTCGGGGATATACTGGTGATAACTTATCCTAACCTTAAACTGGTTTTAAGCTTACAAGTGAGGGCATATAGTTAGGGTTGCCAACCATACTTTATAATATAGTATTCTACTTTAATTTTGGTAGATAAACTTTATACTTTTACATAAAAATAACACCGCGCACCGTGGTGAACGGCGGAGCCGTAGACCAGGTCCGCCGCAGCAGTGGCTCTCAGTTCGTTGGCCGTGCATGAGGGGCCGAGTAAGTAGGCGCACTGAACTTATGGAGGACTTAGCTTATTTTTTTAATTTGATAAGTTGCCAAGCGAGCAAGCGGTCCACCCGATGTTAGTGAATACCGCGGCCCATTGCAATCTGCTACACCCGAGGGTTGCAGATGAGTTGACAACCTATTGAAAATTGGGTTTCGGCTACCCCACTCACCAGACGAAAAGCAAAAGTATAAATAGTTCCACTTCACGCCGGTCTTCTGTGAGGTCGTGGTACTTACCCGAACGAGTATTATAACTATTTAATCTCACATCATTCAGGACATTCACAATCGATTCACTTCCCACAAGGCGAGATTTACGTAAATTTTTAATAATAAAATAAAACTAGGTCTGTAACTTATGTTTACACCAGGAATAACGTTTATTTAGTTTCTTTTGCGCCTTCTAACACAGTCCTAAAGTTAGTCCTTAGGCCTTCAAAATATTTGCAACCACAAACGCTTTTCTAATATAACAATAAATAATTAATGTATAAGTGAACAGTGAATGACTTTATTTTGCATGCAACATAAAAGGGGATAACCCCTTTTTCATTCAGTTGTTAGATGCAGGTTCGAGTCCCGCATCGCCCAAAGTTTTTGTTCATTAATCTAGAAAAAAATATAATTTACAATACCAAACAAATTCAAAGTTATCATAAAACAACCAAAAAAAGTAAAATAAAATATAGTATGTATATATCTTGCCTACTGATTGCAGAGAATTTATTTAAAAATGATTACACAACAAGTAAATTTTAGATTAATAACTTACATTTATTATAAGTTTATGGAAGTAACTATGTCTTTTATAACATTTTGTTACCTGGTAAAACAAAGGAATATGTTTATTACCACTGAACTATACTTAAGTTTTTCTATAATTAAATACCAATTTGTTGTGCAAGAACTGCATACATTGCTAATGCAGTAAGACCTACTGCTGATGCATGTAATGCACGCAATGCTAATAATGACCAAGCACTTAAAGAAAGGATGCTGGCTACTGCATCTTCTAAGAGCATTCTGTATGGAGACAAAGCAAGCAGTGTGACAACAATGGGTGTATGTTTCCGTGGCAAGTCACTTCTTGTCCATAGCCACACAAGGGCGGCAGTGGCGGCGTGTTGCAATAGAGCGACATTAGACTCTGCACATGAGCGAACATATCGCCAATCAAACTCTGAACCACGGGCGCCAACCCAAAGTAGTACACTTCTGGTGACAACAACCTGCAATGGATACAAACAATAATCAATGTATTATGTCATGAATTCACTCAAGCTAGTTAGTTTATCATGAATTTAAGGTGAGTTGAATACAGTAACTATTGAAACTTTTTCTATTTATATTTTGCATTTTGAGCAATGCATGAACACCACCAGTCAGCAAATTTAAAGTAAGCAGACAACTTCAAATAACATTACACAGAATATTTGTACAAGAGGTATTCCCTTTTCTTCATGCAATTAGAAAACATGTGTTTATAATATAAACTTTATATAGAAAGGAAAATGGAGATTTATACAGGGAGGCTTTTCTAAGTGTATACATTTTTTTAAATTCAATTCTAGACATAAATAATGTTATATAAAAATGATAAATATTTTAAATCACTTGTAAGTAATTAATTACATTCATTTGAACTCATCTTAAAAAGTTCGTGAGTTGCGTATAACGCAACTCATTTATTTTACGCGCGATCATTCATAACTTACACGCACACCAAGTTCGTTTGTGTGCGTGAACAGTAAAATTTAGGTATTTATGAATGACTACCGTGTTGTCAACATGTTCTGTTTATTAGGAATAGAATGGTAATTTTTTGGAAAAAAAAAATGTTTTTATTTAAATAAACGATTATACACAGAAGGTTCCTGTGTAAATTTGGGTACCTTTAAAAAAGCCTCCCTGTATATTACTAGCGGACCCAACAGACAGTCTTGTGCATGAAAATTCGACAGGAGACAGACAGAAAATGAATGACTTAAATTCGACAACTTAAAAATAAAAAAAAGTGTAGTGGATCAAATTCTGAATCTAAACCATTCTCAAATCAACCTGAAGACACAAAAAAATTTTCATTAAAATCTGTCCACCTGTTTAGGAGATACAGAAGAATTATATATGTATAAATATTGGATGACTTATGGGATATATATATAATATTATTTATGTAATATATAAATGCGTTCTATATTAATTAAATATAAAATATATATTATATTTAATTAATGGAATGGATTTATTTAATTTTGGATAAAAAAAGCCTGATGGTAAGTGCTCCACCTTTGGCTATCAACATTTGCAGCAGGCTGTTTTCTAGATGCTCCCTAATTTATATTTGTCCAGAAATACCAATGCCGATAACTGATTTTTAGTGCTTGGGTGTGGAAGAATATGATGACTTGATGACACTGTTTTTAAGCTTCGGCACTTAGGGTTGTGAGTTCGATCCCCACATGAGACAAGTATTTTTTGTGACCCATAGATAATTGTTCTGGCTGTTTGTTTTCAAGGCGGTTTGATGTCAGGCAGGCGACCAGTCTCATCCCTTAAGTAGGATAAGGGCAGGCAGATATGATGGTGTGTGGGCTGCTAAACATAATCTGCAGCTCCTCCCAACACAAAGGATCAATAACGCATGCATTCAGATGTTGTTTGAGCACATCCTTATAGCGTAAATACTGACCACCATGCTTCCGCTTACCCTTGGTTTATTCTGAATAGAACACAGATTTAGGCAAGCGGTGGTCGTTCATTCTAAGGACATGCCCACTCCACCTGAGCTGACGTTGCATTAGGAGAGCTTCAATGCCGTACATTCCGGAGCGACGCAGAACCTCAGAGTTAGGAACTCGGTCCTGCCACTTGATCTTCAGAATGTATCTCAGACACCTAAGGCGGTAAGTGTCTAGCTTTTTAATGTCTGTTTTGTAGAGGCACCATGTTTCTACTACGTATAAAAGAACAGCGATGGTTAGAGCTTTTTACACTTAGATCTTTGTCTCTAACTTGAGAACATGAGTTTTCTAGACACAGTCATTGAGTCGCCCGAACTTGGCTGCTGCGTTGGCGATGCGTGATGGTATTTCCGAAGCCAAGGTGTTATTGTTTCGGACAGTGCTCCCAAGGTACTTTAAGTGACAGACTTCGTCTAATGGTTTCCCATTTAGATTCAATTCTGCTGGATCGCTTTCAGTCTCTCGGCGGTTGTTTGAGGATTTGAGTTTTAGAAGCACTTATAACCAGGCCGAACTGTTAGCAAGATCGGTTTAGCTCGTCAACATAGCTCTAGAGATTAGCAATATTATCAGACATAAGCCATATGTCATCAGCCTAGAGTATCTCTAGGATCGAGATCTTCTGCACCTTGGACTTCACTCTGAACCTTGATATATACAAAACACCTCTTCCAGTTCTGAAGCTCAATTAAATCTGGCTACTGCATCGCTGACTACCGAAAAGTTCATGGCAAAGCGTGTGGGTTCCATGACACAACCCTGTTTGACCCCGCTTGTAATCTGGATTTCCTCAGAGTTCTTTAAGTGTTGAACCTGTGCTTTCATACTAACGTGAAATTGGCGAATCAGGTTTACAAACTTCTTTGTAAGTAACTTAGTTCTTTGTAAGCTAACTGGGGCACACATTTTAAGAGATGGCAATGCATCTGCAACTGTATGGATGTTACAGATGACCATGAGCATCTGAATACTTACCTAGCTTGCATCAAATCTAATTATACACAAGATGATAGGCTATTTAATAATAGGAAACAAAAACTTACCTCAGCACTGGCCCAACCGATGGCAGAGGTAAGAATTTTTGCATGCCCTTTTCCTGGCACAGAATTGAGCGCAAAGTACAGTCCTAAAAGATCTGCAAAATCAACTGTAGCTTTAAGGATTTCCTGAAATATTAATACAAATCTTTAATAATTTAACCATAGTTCACATAAATATGATTTTTTTTTCAAATTTTTCTATTTAAAGGTTTACACTTGTGTACAACGCTGAAATTGATGTTGAGTTTTCTACTCTGGAAAATATGGATATCTAATATGGAAATTAAATATTTAGCACTATTAACACTAACCTTGTAACATACAAACACCAGCTAGAGATGTCCACTTACCAGAAATATATCATATTCTCCGTTTAATTGACCACTATCAGAATCAGGAAAGAATGTTGCTAGTAATAGCATTTTGCATAGTTGAGTAAAGATATATAAACCTCCAGCATACACACATTTTGAAAAAGTGGCGTATTCAGATCTGAAAAAATTATTCATTTACATTAAATAATGCTATGTAAAATATAGTTGCAATAAGAAGTTTAAGTGTATACTTTATGAATAACCTATTTAAATGTCTTACATTCCAGAAAACTTATAGGCCATATGGTATGGTGCATACACTAACGCAAGGCAATTACCAAAATGATAAAGTGTCATAATGATTAATAAATATGTTGTATTAATTAAATATATTAGATTAAAATTCGTATACAATATACGGCTTCTGATATTAATAAATGGCAATGACAATTGACATTGGTAGTTTGTAGTTTTTATTAGTGTTGCCGTTTAACAAAATAAAAAGTCCCCTAGCAAATCTTCAATATTCCGAAAAATTCGTTTAAATCCGCTAAACCTCTATCAAATGTTACGCTTAATAGAAATGGTTGTTTTTTTTTTTTTTACTTTTCTTAGATTATTTCGTCTTAAAGCTACTACATAGCATTGTTACCTCTTATATTTTTCCATTACAAAATAACAAAAATTAAGATAGCTCGTTTCGCGTTTAAAATCGCTTTCTTGTAGCTTCGATAGTCAGATCACAATTAACCAAAAGCACCCATCACTTCAGTAAAAGAGAAAAATTTATCAATTTTCATAAGTTTAAGAAAAATTATTAAACAATTAGTAGAAATTATACTTGACATTATCATATAATGTCAAGTATAATTTCAACTAATTGTTTAATAATTTTTCTTATTGTAGATTATGTAATAAAGGTGTGTATTTTTTTGGAATATTTTAAATTTTATAATTTTAAAATATTTTATTTTGCAGAGTTTCTTTAAATATATTTTTAAAACTGTTCTATTATACAGAGTCATATATTAAGGTTATTTTATAAAAATACTTTTATATCTACTGTGGGAAGTATTTTCTTTTAATTCAAATATAAATTATTTCTAATCATCAAACGGAACGTCTGTCCTGTTTCAATTTCTAACCAAATTCAACGAAAACATCAAAACAAATGGGATATGTGTTTGAGAATTTTATTTTGACCAAATTATAGAAGTTTATTAATTTATACCTAGAAATTTTCAATAAAATTTTAAGCAATTTATATATCTTTAACTTTATTTCATTGTTCCTACTTAAAAGTAAAAAGCGTTTGCTAAATTAACATTTTGCCGACGTAACTTTATATAAATTGTTAACATTAACATTAATTTTGTTATAACATTCGTATTTAATTTTTTTTGTTATTATTTATATCGTGTTCTGTCTCATTGTCTAATTTCGTTTTTTTTTTGGTATGTATTAATTTTATAGATTTTTACTATTAACTACAACTAACTAACTATTAATACAACAGTAACAATAAATATATCTCATAATATATAATTTGTGTTAGGGATGATACACAAAATAGAATACTATTTATGAATAGTTAGATAAAAAAATCTCAAAGAAAGAGATGCAAAATATTAGGGTGCTTAAAAAGGGGTGACTTGTTTAACCCTTTCATTTTTTAGCACAGGCGCAAAGGGGTATGGGGTTCGTTGTCCAATAGCAGAGTAGGATTTCTGAATTTTTGATTTTATTCGTCAAGAGAAACTTGTTCACCGCTAGTTGGGTGCTGATCTCTCCGACTCTCACTCCGCAGTACCCTTTTAAACTTCATTGTAACTGCCTGTTCCTATTATTCATATCTGTTCACCGTACGTCAAAGATTTCCATTGTGCAAATAAATTTTGTTTCTAAGTTGAGAAAACTATGTGCGGAGATTGTGCCTATTTCAATGTTTGTATGGGGTGTTTTAATTTTCTCCTTGGATGTAATATCTTGGTAAGTGAAATTGAAATCTAGTGGAATTGCAGAAAATTTATATTTTTTTGGAGTTATTTTAAACATTTTACTTTCTTGCAAGAATTTATTCTAAATTACTTCATTTGATGTTTAGAAAGAATGAAGAATATTGGATTTTTGAACATACCTTGAAATATTTTAGAGTTACATATTTTGTGTTTGATTATTTATTTAGATATGAATATTTTCAAGAAATAACTAAAATTTATAATAGTTTAAAATCAAATACATGTTTTACAGGCACCTTTATATTTATCTAAAACACTGCTTACTTTTTCAGTATTTAGTATTTATGTAATAGATTTAAAATTAAAACACAACAGAATATTAAAAAGAAATGACTGTATATGTGTAACTTACTTATAATAAATTCCTTGTTCATACTATTTTTCCCTAAAACTATATTATGTTTTGTCTAAGTAAAAATTAAAATCATATTTCTTGTGTAAACTTGGTGACTGAAGTGTTTAAAACTGGCCAGATACGAGCATTGCCAATGAAAACTTCTTTTAAATTTTGAATATAGAATTCTTTGGCAAATTAATTTGATATATTGCAATTATTTACGGTGGTAGAGCCATTATTTATGGTGGTAGCGTCGGATGTTGACACGAATGGTCAGGCTCGTCCGGGTAAGTACCACGACTTCGCAGAAGACTGGCGTAAAGTGGAAGGATAATACTTTCGCGTTTCGTCTGGTGAGTGAGGTGGCCGGATCCCAATTTTCAAAAGGTTGTCAGCGAATCTGGAACCCTCGGGTGTAACAGATGTCGATGGGTTGGCGGTATTCGCTTAACATCAGGTGAGCCGTTTGCTCGCTTAGCAATTTTTCACATAAAAAAAATAATTGTCATTTATTTTTGTAAATTGACAGCAACATTCAGAAGTCTTTTAAATTAAGAAAATTTCCGGTCCATGATGTATTACGACTTGCGCTTTGGTTTTGCTATGCTCAACAACAAAGCTATGATGGACTTCGATTGGCATTTCATGATGAAGCTCCGATCTGTGTCACTGATTGCAATTAATTTAATGACTTTAAGCGTCGGCTTGCAATCTCATTGATGATGTGCGTGAAGGGCATCCTGCAACAGCGACATCCGAAGATAGCATTAGTGCGGTGCGATGCTTGATGGAGGAAGATAAGAGAATGACCTACCAGCAGATTCGAGCAAGTTTAGGCATTAACATGAGTTAAGTATAAAAAATATTTCACTACCATTACGGCGTCGGGAGACTTTGTACCAGATAGATTCCCCATTATTTGACCGAAAGCCAGACATGCATTCGCATGGATTGGTTAGAGAAGTTTAACAGAGATGATTCTAATACTGTATTCACATGATAACAGGTGGTGAAAGCTGGATGTGTTGGTACGAATCCGAAATCAAAAGAAAATATATGCTTAGTGGGTGTTTCTTTTTGAGGATAGGCTAACTAAAGTAAAGAAAGGGAAGACAAGGAAAAAAGATGATTGCCTCGTTCTTTGCACCGGAAGATCATTTCGGGACAGTTGTACTGGAAGACACAAGGACACTTACTGAAGACTGGTATGTCAACTGTTGTTTTGTCTGTTGTCATAGAAAATATTCGAACAACAGCGTGCTCATGCAAAATCCTCCTTCACCACGGCAACGCTTCAGTGAATCGAACAGTTGAATATTTTACTATGGAAGATTTCGAAATGATGTGTTATACCCCGTATAGTACCGACCTGGCGCCCTGCGACTCATTTATTCCCAAGAATCAAACATAAAAGCAAATGCGGTGATTGTGTTCGAAAATGCCGTAGAAGAGCCCTAAAAGTTCCATCGAATGCCAAGATCTATTGAGAGGAACGTAGACTACTGCGAACAAATAAAAAAAAAACATTTTATTGCCTTATGTATAACTTATAACTAAACATGCATTCTTAAGCTTAAAGTACACAATACAATAAAGGCAAAACGAGGCGGCTCACCTGAACTGATCGGGACAGTAGTTCTGGCGAGAGGCTGAAAACCAGCGCTGGTTTTCAGCCTCTCGCCACTTCCTGAGGTATTTTTCGGAAGTTTTAGTTGTGGCCTACCATGCGAAAAATTACGTTAAAATGAATGTGAGATGAATATATATATAAAAAAAAAAGAAAACAACAATTAAAGTTTTAGAAACTTTCTACTTTAAGAAGTTTTATTATTTTCTAAAAACTTTGTGTGACCCACGTAATCTTGTAAGATTTAAGAAATGTCACAATGTGATCAGGAGTAGTTACTTGAAAATTCTAAATACGGTTGTTTATTATGCAAAACCAATGAAGTTTTTCTATGTGAAATGTTGACAAACGAGCAGAGGATTCACCTGATGTTTAGTATACGGATTGCAGATGCGTTGCTAACCATTAAAAAAGTGGGCTAGGTTACATCGCTCACCAGAGGAAATGTGCAATTATAATACTTGCACTTCACGGCATGTTCTGTGAGGTACTGTTTCGGATGAGCCTGCTTATTCATGCAACAGCAGAAGCTGCTGAATCGTATGAACATCTGCATAGTTTACTTTTTACCACGTTTAGAAGTTACCTTAAGCATACGAAACCGGATGATACTTCGTTTTTTATTAACATACTAGCTGTTAACCGCGGCTTCACCGGCGCGACCACTGTTAATTACATGAGGTTTTTTATTGTACACTTATCATATATACGTTGGACATTTCACACATCTTTATAAATTATAGCCTCTGTGTTATTCTGATGTATACGCTATATTATTGTAGTTTCATTAAAATTATTCAGTAGTTTTTGCGTGAAAGAGTAACAAACATCCATCCATACATACAAACTTTCGCCTTTATAATATTAGTAAGGATTGAAGGAATAGAAAACTACAATGAGTGGTTTTTATAGTTACATATTTTCCAAATTAAATGTAAATGTATTTTTAACTAATAGTATTAAGTTCCGGTGCGCAGCAACGCCTAAATCTGCTCAAAGAGGCCGGCTCATATCATCAGGCTTGTTTCTTTGTCAACTTCTCTTATTTATGAAATAAATGTTTTACTTGTAACGATTTACCCTTAAACGGTATGTCACAAGATCTTAGATATAATCATACAGATTGATGAACTAACAACAATAACATCGATCCATAAAAGATTTGTTTAACATAATAGTTTACAATAGGGTTACGCTTGTTTGCAATAGCGTTTCGTATATAAATATTTTAATCGATAGAGAAACATAACCGAATCAATAATTATAAAATAAAAATTGTCTAAAAAAAAAAAATCTTGCAGTTAGTGCCGTCGCGGGGCTTTTTAATAACATATATAAATGAACACCTAACGAATCTATCAGAATTAAATAATTGTCGTAGGTACTTAATTTGTCATAATGTTTTTAAGTATGCTGTTTAACTGCATTCTGCATTTAATAAAAACGTGAGTTCTTAACTTTGATTATATACTTGTCAGTGTATAATATCATATTTAACGAGTATAGGCAGGCCTTAAGAAAATTGACAAAAATTAATTTTGTACGCAATGTACCTACCTAATGTTGGATTCGCTATAATTAAATTGCAAGTTTTTTTCTCAAAATCTAAATGTCAGTGACTACTTCGCAATTTTTGTTTCGGTAAATTTTATCTATCGGTTAAAAATATTTGTACATATTATACGAAAAACGAGCGTGTCGATATCGTAAAGAATTACCTCGTTTATAGGTTTTATTAAATTTTTGAATATGGTAATTTAATAATATAGTATAGTAGCCCCTAAGATATTTTCAGTACTTGTAAAGAAATTTCGGCCTGAAATTTTCTTCAGCTCTGTAATCCGGTTGCTATTTTGAACTAAAACTGAAAATTTTGTTTATTTTCTAATATTTTAACGATAATAAATGTATAATATATATATATATATATATATATATATATATATATATATATATATATATATATATATAAATATATATAAATATAATATAAATGAAACGGTATGCAGTAAAATGTGATTTAATAGTAGACATATTTTGATGATGGAAAACATAGTGCAGTGAAAAAACGCATTTCGCATTTAACGTAGCATATCATTTCGGACAATACTACGAGGCACAATATAAAAAGCCCGATCTTGTAGCACAGTCCACTCACGTCATCCCTCCATTACAGCATTGTCCTTCGACAATGGAGACAGAGTATAAAGAATCGCGGCCATTAGGTAAATTTCCTTATTCATTTTTTGCGTGACACCCTCGACGTGTAAAAAGCGGGGAGCCATTATTTATCATGTGGAGATGCGGAGACGCGTCCAGAGATCTCAATCTTGCGATGGCGTGAGGGCTTTTTGCGCGCCCTAATCGATCGAGGGCGTGCAGGTGCCTCCTCTACTCGAATTAGATTAGAAACCTCGCCCACCCCAACGATAATTTTTAATGCAAAATTAATAATTAATAACGTGTCTTGTAATATGTTTTCTCGATTTTTAAATTTTATATGCGATATATGTATAATAGATTCGTTGTCAGTAACGATTGTAATAGAGAATATTAAGAGTTATGTAAATAAACGAACATAATTTATTTCAATAGGAGCAGCGCAATGTACTGAGAGCTAAATAAAGGTTTTAAATCTGTATATTATTTAAAAGTAGCTTTAATTGGGAGATTGGGAGCACGAGTTTAGCTTTGAATATTTTAAAATAAATGTTCACAATATAGAATAACTAATTTATAGTCACTGAGTTTCAGTACTTTAATTTTCCTTTCTACAGTTTGAAAAAAAAAATTAATATAAATTCGTACACGATAGACTATAACAATAATTCAGATTTTACCTATAGGTACATTATGTCCATTTGTGTTATTAAATAAATAACGTGACCCGTTCACCACCTGGTTTACCTTTTAATAAAAACTGTGGAGTAGTGAGTAGCATATACCACTTCAATATATTTCGTAAAGGTCAAAAACGTCTTTAATGTCTGGGTATTTTTTTTTACCCTTAAATTTTTTTATTTTTGTATTGCGTAATTTTATCCAAAAGCACGTTGGCACGCTTAGGGCTGTTTACTAGATATATTTCATATTTTTCATTTTGAATAAACTCACGCACAAAATACATAATTTTCAAAACATTTAATAGAAAACATTTTCTAAAAAATGTCATTAACAAAATCGGTACGTTGTTAAACAAACAATAAATTCCTTGTCATTAATACGTTTCATGTTGTCGTTTTAAATTGTGCTGCTTTAATAATATCCAATAATATGTACGTATGCGTATTTAATCTGTTACTAATGCTTCTTTGAAATATTGTCGATTTGCAATAGACTATTGTTTTTATGAAGCAAGTCTAATAATTTAAAATAAGCACCACCGACAAACCGCTATTTATATAGTTATTTGACCACATACGTGTTTTCCATATACGTGTGCATTATGAACGTAGACGGTGATTACGGAGTTATAGAAGGATGATTTCAATTTGGGGTGCGGGCGGCGGGCGGTGCATTATTATTCAGGCGGCGTGGAGCGCCGGCCGCGGCGGCGGAGTGCGCCACGCAGATAAGCGGAGCTCGACGCGAGCCGAGACGCCGGCAGTCGTAGCACGGCGGGGGCCTTATCGGAAACGGCTTACGGTGACCCCATGCAAACTCCCTAATGTGACATTCCTCACGGGCCACCCCCGCGGAACCCTCCGCCGATCGATCTCGATGCAAAGTTCCCCGGCGGGGGACGCAGATCCCGTTTCGCCCCTTGCGATTTTATTGTTACATTTCTGCTTACTTTACGGCTGCGTTTAACCATTTCGTCGTTCAAAATTATTACCACGATAAACAAAATTATCGACAAGTTAAATTAAGTTGACATCGCTTTTCTTTAATTTAAAGAAATAATGTTAATGCATGCTGTAGGTAATGGTTTTTTCGTGTTATAAGCCGTCAAAAGCTTTATGCACTGTGGAGGTATCTCGGATCAATGTTTAACCTTTTAAGGCTCAACTTTGGTACCTATATAGGGTTTTAACCATGTCACATACCCTAAATCACCAAAAAGTTAATTAATGTGAACTATTTAAAAAACGACTTATTGTATAAGAAGTAGTATGAATGAAGAATGAAGTTTCTTGTAGGTTTATTTATATTTAGATTTAGGATCTTACATTTTTATTAAATATCCACAACTAAACTATTTCTGGCAGCAAAGTTGCCGTACTGTGTTATAAAAAGTATAGCAGTATAGGAGAGCAGACGCACACACGTCCGCTACATCGTGTAAGCGTCTATCACTCACAATCATATTTGAGCCGTTCGATAGCATCACACCCTGAGGTCGGAATTCATTATTTATTTATAGGTAACATGGCCGGCTCACTGAATATTCGGTTGCTGATCAAAAAGTCCAATCCGGTTTTATATGCCACTGAATATTGAGCGGCGGCCGGTCCTGTAATACATATTTTGCAAGGATAGTTTTGCGACCGCTCCGGTCGTGGGGGCGTCTCTCCGTCCGCCGCTCTCACCTCCATCTCTCGCTGTCCTTCACGTTACACGGATGAATGGAAAATACCCTTCGTCTTATTTTAATGTATTTTCATTGATTGTCGAAAATTTTTACGACTTACCTTACTCAATAAGATTATTAATTCGCTTACATAACCCGTCGTGTGTCCAAAATATTTTTTGTAAAAACATAAGTTTGACTGTAGTTATTTATTACTTATTAATCTTAATTTACTTTTTAGATTACCAAAGGATATTAGAAGTCTATGTGAGTATGTTTTACCATCGGAAAATTTCTCTAATAAGTTCCGAACTGAATACGCTTTCATGATTTTGTGCACCTACGGCGGAGTAGCGGTTGCCTCGGCATCAGGCTGTTCTGTATTTATTCATAGGCTCGCGTGTAGTTTTATTCGGTCATAAATATTAAAGGCGGCTCGTGCCACTAGGATTTTCAATTGGACAGCGCCGCCGGATCCCCTTAGATTTTAGGCTGCCTCTCTCTTCACGGATTAGAGCGGTCTGATGTATGGCCGCGGGTGGCGGTAAATCAAATTTTGATTGCTATTTTCTTTGTGGAAATTCGCAATCCTCCGCTGGGAGTGGCGTCGGGTAACGCGGGTTAACCGATCCCCAGGCGCGCCGTCGACTTACGAGGATTCCGTTATTTCTTTTTTCTTTCCTATCTCTTATTCCGCGATTGAGATGTGTCTGAGGAATTTCATGAAATCTGCCCTGTTATATCCACGGATATTCAATTGGATTGGTGTCTCCACACTAAGGGTACAAAAACGTTATCTAAATTTTCTCTAACTTTTACAATTTATTATTTGCTCTCTTCTGTACAACATTAAATTATTTTCAAAATATTTTCAGTGGATATTATAGTTTTAATGTTGCTGTATTGTGTTTTCATTTGATAATTTTCAGCTTGTTTTGGTTGGTATGGCAATCTTATTTCTTATATCAGGGTTTATTTGTTAAGAAGTCATCTAATTTTTTTTAAATCAATTTGATACTAGGTTGAAGTTAATTCTTTATTACGTATCTTGTAAAACAAATTCCATTTTCTGGGACAGGGTAACTTTGTGCTTTTAACTATATGCTTAGAGGTTGATATCAATTATTCCTGAAATTGATATTTTCATCACCGATTCTTTACCTTCTTTGAGTTAGTGTTGACAGCTAAAATTTCGCTACATAATAGCTTTGATTTTTTTGTATATTAATGTTTAAAACTAACTGTAAAGGATCATTTGTAATGTTCGACGATAGCCGCCGGCTGCGCAGTGTTCGGCATATTCTGGCGAAGCAATTGATACCGATTGAAGTTTACTTAGGGCCGTTGAAATTGAATTTGGCTCGGATAAGTTGATTTCAGTGAAATAACTCGAGTGCAGGCGGGGAGGTCGCAACCGCTCGTGTGATCCAATTGCCTGGCCGCGAGCCACAGATTGAATTCGGCCTTCCAATACTTGAACCCATCCCGTGGAGGGCGCTCACAAGCGGCGCTCGTCACTGCACCCGAATCTACGTGTTTTGTCTTCATTGATATTGATCACGGTTATGACCTGATTTTGAGTTCGGTGGTTAGAAAGTCATCTCCATCGCCGATGACCGTTTCGAATTTTCAATGCAAGTGACGCATACGAATGATTTCTGGGATTGAAATAACGAACAAACAAAACCACAATTGTATACTAAGATTTCGTTAGGTTAGGTTAGTTAGGTTCATCGTTTTTACTTCTATACATATAGTAAGATAACAAGTAATAATAATAATAATTTATCATTTTGACCTAGTTTCGCAATACTTACGCTAGTTTTAGAACATTAGATTTATTCCGGCATGTGCTTGGTTTTTAATGGCTGTCTTTAAAGATTCGAATAAAAGTGCACAAAATGACATAATCAAAATACAAATTTATCAGAAACTATTGTAGGACGAATGAATTATTAGTTTTCTACTGATTCTGCGTCTTAATCTTCCTCTTTAGAAGTAGCAGAAGTTGACGCAGAGATTTGTAAGGAGTTTTAAGAAAGAGTGCCTAGCCGCGATGCAGAAAACTCATTAGACTGATACTTAGTATATACGTCTCTCTAGATACCCTGTCGCCTCAAAGTAGATGTCAACTTCATGGGGCTCTTATACATATAGGTACTTACGTCAACTATATACTTAAGTGTATGTGTTCCTATTAGTAAAAGTTTAGATTGTAACTGTTATAAAATTGAGGAATTTTTTGTTTATATTGATTAGTGTTGTTTTCATTATGTTGAATGGCAATTGATGTTCTTTTTCAAAATATTTTTGGGGATTTTTAAAAATAATTTGAATGTTACAAACGCCGTAACAAAATCAAATTCACCATGCTATAACACAAAAAGACTTATCGGCTTAAAATAAATATTTCTTTTTCAATTTAAAACATAGGTAGGTACAATACGTAATAATTATATAATCCTCGGTATAGCCACAGCCCCAAGGGCGGATCCAGCTTTGGTGCCAGGGGGGGGTCACATAGTCGTGGTCAAGTGATAAGAAGTTATAATTTATTTTATAATCACAGATAGAAGGAAAAAGTAGGTACTTATTTTTAACCGACTTCAAAAAGAAGGAGGAGACAATTCGGATGTTTATATTTTTTTTATGTGGGTATGTTCGGGCATACCTTCGTCATATATAGACGGATTTGCAAAATTCTGTTCTGCTCATACATAGCGTTGATTTTTATTATCATATATTATACAGGTTGGCTTTTATAAAGGTGCCCAAATTCACACCGGAGGTTCAGGCTCGGTAATGTAATCGTTTATAGAAATAAAAACAAACTTTTTTTTAAAAAAAAATTGGCATTCTATTTCCTAAAAACAACAAACTTCTTGACAATGCGGTAGTCATTCATAAATGCGTCTACTTTTGAAACGAAATTGTGTGCGTGTTAGTTATGAATGATCGCGCGTAAAATAAATGAGTTGCCCATAAATCACGCACTTTCTGAGATAAGTTCAAATGAATGTAATTAATTAATTATGAGTGATTTTAAATATTTATCATTTTTATATAACTTTATTTATGTTTAAACTTTAATAAAAAAAAAATGGATACACTTAGGAAAGCCACCCTGTATAGTATTTTTTTAAGTAGCTATTGGTAGGTTTACTTATTTTTAGAATTTCTTCTATTTATTTCTTCGTTAACAGATTTTATATACAGAAATTTAAATTGTTTATAGTGCTAATCTTTGCACTTAAGATTGAACATTAAAATATGTAGAAAAAGTGCGAAAAGATTGTCGCCGCTGTGGGAATCGAACCCACGTCTTCGGCATTCGCGGCCTGACGCTCTAGCCACTGAGCTAAACGGCTGATGACCACACCGACGAAAATCTTAACGCATTCCTCTACATTGTTTTCTTAGCATTTGAAGCAATGCTTGGCGCCATCTATTGTTATATCCTTTCCAGCATACAAACAATTTCGAATATCGTTTTACAACGATACTTCGAACGAGAGATGTCACCATTGCTTTTTTAAAAATTTAAATTGTTTATAGTGCTAATCTTTGCACTTAAGATTGAACATTAAAATATGTAGAAAAAGTGCGAAAAGATTGTCGCCGCTGTGGGAATCGAACCCACGTCTTCGGCATTCGCGGCCTGACGCTCTAGCCACTGAGCTAAACGGCTGATGACCACACCGATGAAAATCTTAACGCATTCCTCTACATTTGAAGCAATGCTTGGCGCCATCTATTCCCACAGCGGCGACAATCTTTTCGCACTTTTTTCTACATATTTTAAGATTTTATATAGTCATGTTGGTTATAATATTCTTTATTCCTCTGCTCCGCACGCTGGCTCTACTTCAATGACAAGTAGCCTGAGACGAGACTAAAGGGACACGGGTTGATAATAATATATAATCAACTCAAATGAAAACTCCTAAAATAGCCGTACACAAAATAAAATTACATCGTCCACATTAAAAATTTTCATAAATAACAAAAAAATATTTATTCAGTCATTCATTCATTTATTCATTCATAATATTCAGCGCTTCTAATCCATCTAATCAAAGACAGAATCCACATTCATAACAAACGGAAAAAACAATCTTTATTTCCCAAAGATGGTCTCGCATACTCACGTCCACTAAACCTCCACATCTCACCACCCATCAAAAACGGTCCACCCACTAAGACGAATCAAACTCGACGCAGTTATGTTATTTAATTACTGAGTTCCTATGGCCACATGCCAGCTCTGTCATCAGACCCTGGTTACCATCTAGCACCA